AAATTTAAAGCCTCCTATTTCAAATAGGTTTTCTTGACTGAAAACGGCCTGGAAAAGCGGAAAATTCGAGGAAAAACTGGATAGAAATGTAAACACTTCAATTTTTAACTGTCAAAATTGGCAAATGACATTTATTACAAAACCTACTTGAAGTTGGCACAAGCGGTGTTGCCACATCAAAACTTTCAAAAAAAGAATTTTAAATAGTATTTTGTTATTTATGTCATTTCAAAACTAGACATTTTTGCTAGAAAATGAAGAAAACTCAAAGCCTCATATGTTAAATTGTCTTTTTCTATTTAAAAGCCCTGGAACAGTGGAAAATTCGAGGTAAAACTGGAAAAAAATCACAAGGCGTCATTTCAAAATGGCTAACTAAAAGCAGCGTTGCCATATCTCATTTTGGAAAACATAAATAACATTTTAAAAGGATTTTTTGTTTAAAATTCAATTTAATAATTAATTAATAATGATTATAATAATTAAAATTCCCCAAATAAAACATCGGAAACTTGTTTTTAGTTTAATTTCAATGAAAATGACATTACAAGGTTTCCTTATTGATTATAGTGAGTAAGACAAAGACAACAATAAAGTAGTATATGTTTGCAAAAACTACCGTTTTCTGAAAAAAGTAAAAATCTTAAGAAAACCAACATTCCAAAGCCAATTTGATAAAACTAAAGTTTTTGAATATTCCCGGCTCTTTGATCGGACGCTAAATATCGCATTTTAAATATTCCCGGTTTTTAATTGGCTCTAAATTATCCGCTGACCAATAGAATTATAAACTAGGCCCCGTGATTAAAATAACTCTAGCTTCCGGCTCGCGTATAATTCCGGCCTTTCGGGCCAGGTTCGCTTATAACTCCGGCCCTTCGGGCTCGCGTATAACTCTAGCCCTTCGGGCTCGTATATGACTCCGGCCCAGGAATAAAAAAATTGAGATTGAATTTTCAATTTCTTGACGGAGGTTTAGCCTCCCCTGCCTCCTCTGACGAGCCGCCACTGAAGCTAATGCACAGGCTACGCGAATCACCCTGTTTAATTCAGTAGTTTATTATCGAGGATTTTTTAAAAAAAAAAGTTTTGTGATTTAACAGTCACAGATTACGTTATATATTCGTCATAAGCCCCAACTAAACCACGTTATAGAAAGACGGCATTTTATCGTTACATAATGACGTCATGGGGATGTGACATTAACCCGTAATTTTTTCGTCAAAATGACGTCATCTTTTTCGACCCAATGACGTAAATGAAATCCAATTAGTCACGTCATTATGACGACAGCGTGTTTGCTGGGTAGGTGCTGTTGGAATAGAATTTGTATGCTGGTTGTAGGTACTGTTGTAAATAGAATGCTGGAGTGTCTCAAAAAAATTGATTTTTGCCCAGTTTTCAATTGAAGCTCTACTTTAAATCCATTTAGCTACAAATGTTCCAAATGTCTTATAAAAGTATCTCAAAATCAGTGGCGACGCTAGGGTGTTACATTAGGGGGGGCCAGACTGGGCCAGAAAAATTTAGGGGGGGCACTTGTTTTTACTTTATTGCTTTTTTTTTTGGAATAATAAATGGGAAGTCGACACTAATATGTTTAGGGGAATCCCAAGAAAACTTGACCTTATAGGACTGCCTATTAAGCTGAAAGTGTCTACCATTTCAGCCGCAGACCTCAACTTTCGGCGTAAAATGCATTAGCTGAACCTGAATCGCAAACATCCCATCGAGGCCTGCGGGTGACGTAACCACTATACTTTAGCCACAGCATATACAAAAACAATCAGCAGGCTAACTCTCACGCGCATCTTTTCTGCGCACGCCGCCATTAGGGGATACCATTTTGTCATAACGCTGTCATTAAACGGCAGGAGCGCCGAAATTTTATTTTATTTGTTTATTTCTGACGGAGGTCATAGGCGTGCGGTGTAGAGCAGAATTTTAGCTATGATTTTCAAAATAATTTTGATATATTCGTGTTGTCATTTATGGTGTTATCTGTTATCATTCTTGTATATTCAATAATAATAATAAATTAGTAATTATAAACATTATTATATGTAAGTAATAATAAATTAGTTTATTTAAAGCCAATACGACTCTGTCACAGGAAAGAAAAAACCTAAATTATCGTTAATCAGACCCTGTTTAGTATCCCAAAATGGCCGCTAGTGACATTTTGACGATGAATTACTTTATTATACGGGCTGTCACTCAAGTTAGCCTGCTGATTGTTTTTGTATATGCTGTGCTTTAGCCTAGTACTCATAACCGCGAAATTTGCTGTTTTTTGACATTGCATTGAGAATTTGACGTTTTATGCGTGAATTAAACGTCAAATCGTCGAAGCAACGTCAAAAAAGAGCGAATTTCGCGGTTATGAGTACTAAGCTTTAAGCTGCTGATAGTGGTAACGTCACTCGCAGGCCCTGCCGACTCGAGATATGGCGAACGTAGGTACGCCTTAGGGAGGATTTTCATGCATCCGTTTTTCCGTCGAAATATGCCCGTTTAACATTCTATTCTGACATAATCGTATATAAATATGTCAAAATAGAAGACTTTTCGGACATATTTCGACGGAAAAACGGATGCATGAAAATCCTCCCTAAAGCTTACTTTTCATGCATCCGTTTTTCCGTCAATCCGATGATCTGGTCTATTGGTCCAATATTTTGGCGCCAACCTATTGGACCAATAGAAATACTTCCGGATCATAAAATTGACAGAAAAACGGATGCATGAAAAGTAAGCTTTATGGGGATGAGTGATCCTGAGGCGGGATTGAGTAACGGATAGAAATCCTTATCCCTTTTGCTATGGCACTTGCTGTCTTCTTCTCTCTTTTCGAAATCAATAGAGAGGGGACGTCAATAGCGAAAATATCTCTATTCGTTACAGAATTCCACATCTGTGAGTTTACGATTCTTGGGGGAATCCCAGGAAAGCGAAAACACCGTCGCGATTACCTGTGCCCAGCGAATATTGAATTAACCCACACAGGCTACTGATGTTGCATTGCATTGTTGCCGGCATGAGAGCAAGTTTTCAGGGGGGGGGGCAGCTAAATTTCAGGGGGGGCCCGGGCTTAATTATTACAAATTTCAAGCCACTACCACTAGTAACAACCCAACTAACCCAAAATAACTCTAACCTGTGGGTAATTGCTAATGGTAGTCCACTAAACATTTTCAGCTATTTCCAAAATGATACAAACATCTACAGATGCATGCATTATTGTCCGTCGATTTTAATCTGATACTCGGACGGAATGTGAGCTGGTGGCTCCCTACATTAGAACGCCAATGGTTACCTAATGTCACACCTGTTTTTGCCATATGAAACACCCCCTCGCTCCTCATACCGCAAGTATCAGTTAAAAATCGACGAACAATACACAAAATACTTTTTAGCTGATTGCTATAGAGATGGACAGCTATCAAGTTGTAGCTATATACCTATTTTTAAATTTTCTTGAGACACTCATGGAGGTGTTATTGTTATTGGGTAGGCACTCTTGAAAAACCAGTCATTAAACGATTTATGACAATCCGGTCAATAGGTAATTAGTAGACCTAATAGTCCAGGAGCCAAGATAATTATTTGGACATTTTTTCTCGAGATTTGTTTGCAAAAGCTGAAACTTTTTGTTTATTTGTAATTAGAGCTGATTTTCAAATGCGGCATTATGTGTCAGTAAAAACAAGTTGAAAATAATATGTACTAAATTTACATTTGGTTTGTAATAAGGTGAGTCCCCCATAAAATAATTGAAGTGTGGTATTGAAGAATTTGATGATTTATAATATGCTTTCCTATGTTATTTAACAACTTTAATTTGTAAGGAAAGTTGTTGAAAATAAAAGTTTTCCTTTTTTGTTACAGGGCCGCACTAATAACCAAGAGTTTAATCCTAAATCTTCATGATTTTTTAGGAAAGAAGCTGGAAAAGACACTGGAATCCAAATTATGTGAAGTTATGGTAGGAACTTCAAAAAACCATGGTAAGATTTTACTGTTAGTTAATTGTCTAGTTTTTTTCATTTTGAACACTGGAATCAAGAGCCAGACCAATTTCCAAATTCAAAATTCAAATTGGGAAAAATTGCTTTTCAATGTTTTAAGTTTCAGTTCATTTTCCGAGAAAGAAATATCTAAGTAACAACTTCCAGCTTCCAGAGACAAAATGCAAGTTTGGAAAATTTGTTTTCATGATGAGATGATCGCCTTCAGAATGAAATAATGGAAAATTACATAGAAGATTCTCAAAAATGACTTCAACTCAACAGACATATCTTGAGAATGAGAAATCAAAAAACAAAATCTACCAAAGAATTATTGTGAATGAGAAACATATATCCAACCAGAGATTTTTAAAAATGTTAAACTACTTAGCAGACATTTTTGCAAATGAAAAACAAATTCAAAAGAGATTTTGATTCTTTGAGAATGGTGAGATATGATATGATAAATTCAATAGAGATTCTTCATTCTTCATAATGAAAAAATGATAAACTAATGACAAATTCTCAAGAAATAACAACCAACTCAAATCTTTGAGAATGAGAAACCATGCAAACAATAAATTCTTGAGAATGAGAAAACATTCAACAGAAATATTTAAGAATCAGAAACTTCTCAACAGATATTTTTGCGATTGAGAAACAACTTTAATAAAAGACCCAACATCAGAAATTTTGAGAATGAAACAGAGGAAGAAAAATTACATGATCCTCAAAAATGAGAATATTTAGATCAAATGAGAAGATCATGGAATTGTAAGTCATTTTTCACCAATCAGAAATAACTAAATAATCTTGATGTCTGGGAATTTTCTGTAATAAATTCATGGAACTTGTGCTAAAAAGCACTGTATGATTAATCAGGAAGAAGAAATAAACTGGTACAATTTTTCAACATCAAGGCATCCAAATTTATTCAATCAATAATAATACAATCAATTTTAACTAGTTCTTACTAAATAAGTAGGTAACTCCTTAAACATTTTGACAAAACAAGTACTTGTTAAAATAAGCCCTGAATACTGCACTTGCAAAATATAGAGCTATGGGATTTACACAGGAGTTGAAAAAGCTAAAAATATACAAACATAATTATTTGTTCAAATTGCCTAATTAATGATTAACATACCTCAAACAAAATCCAACCATTTTAACCAAATGCCACCACTCGTTGTACTCTTGCTGGGCATTCGGGGAAAGATTGAACCACAAAAGCCAAACATGTTGGGGCAAAAAGCAGACGAAAAACACTAAAAAAAACTTATTAATGAAAATAAACGCAAACAAATTACCTACGTACAAAAAACGAAAATCAAAACCATCCTGGCTACGTGTTTTCTGGCTTTGGCTTGAGCAGCAACCCCTTGCTGACTTGCCCCTGGTATTTTGGTTTGGAGCCTTATGGCCATCAAAATGTAGAAAAACGAAATTGCTATTAAAGGAATTATATAGTAGATTAGGGATTTTACTATTACACTGTATTTTGCATAGTTGGGAATATTTGCTGGGAATGGAAAGCAATATGGGATTTTGGTGTTTCTAAAACAGAAATTAGTTTAGATTCATGTGATTTTTTATAGAAAGTTTTTACCCGTTTTCTCCATTTATAGGATCATATTTGATTCTGGCAAAAATTGCATTTGGTATAGCGCAACCTATTGCAAGCAACCATATTATTACAGCAATTAGTACTGTAATTGGTTTATTCTATTTTAGTGTTAAAAAAAATCGAATTAGTAATAAAAGTACCTACTTGTAATCTTCTTAACGGATAAACTACAGCATAATAACGTTCAATTGAAAGTGCCGTAAGTGTAAAAACCGAAACTCCAATACTTATGTCTTTAGCGCATTCGGATATTTTGCAAACGGCTTCGCCCCAAGGCCAATACTCCATGGTGTATAGAATCGAGGTAAAAGGTACACACGTAATAATTACAAGCAAATCTGCCAAAGCCAAAGAGAACAAGTACGTATTTGGCACGTTTCTCATCGATTGGTGTTTCAAAAAAACGAAAACTACAGTACCATTTCCGATTACTCCAATGACGAAGATCAGAAGAAATACGGCTGGTACTATGTAGGTTTCTAGTCGTTCTGAGTAGGGCTGGTATTTTTCTTCTGATGAAGTTATATTGTATGTCGTGTTTGCTAAATGCAAAATATTCTTACCCATTGTGGCTACTGAAAAATACTAACGTAAATGTGCCAAATAATATTGATATATTGAGGCCAGGAGACCTGTGAAAATGTTTGTTTGCAATTATATTCTATTTATTTAGTCTTTGTTTGTTTTCTTTAAGAGGTTTTTTTTTTGTACTGGACAAACTTATTTAAGTCCTCTTATTTCCAGAAAGAAAGTGCCACATTGAGTTAGGATTTATGGATTTTATTGTTGAGTTGAGTTATATATGAATATTTTTGTCAGAAGAGACATTGAATTTTGAAAAACTATACAGGGTGATTTCTTATCCTTTGTAAAATTCTATAAATTCAAAAAATGTTAGCTCAAAATTTAGATATAATAGTCTTGCGATATTGATTATTTTACATACCACTACTAAGGTATAGAAACCTTATGATTTTGAATTTCAAAAACTTTAAAGACCCATAACTTTTTCCTGAAAATTTCAGCTCATTTGGACTTGGAAAATTTCAACTTTCCACTCACTTAATTAGTTTTCGAATGAAAAATTTTTTTGTGAAGTACGTCTTACTTACAAAACATCATTATTTTCAATAAATCGTAACTCCATTAATAATAACTCAATCGCTTTGAGTTTTTGGTATTTTTTACATTGAATCATTAGGAAAAAGTCTTCAAAATTTCAACTTTCCACTCACTTTAGTTTTTGAGTAAAAAAATTGTTTGTAAAGTCTTGTAGATTGTAGATTTCGGGGGAGTCGTTTCGGCTGTTCAGCCGCTCAGCACTGCTACCTTTGCAGATATTTTGTGCGTGACTCTACATCTTAATTTGTCTCCAGGAAGCGTAGACTTCTGCCGAAGGAAGCTATTTTCCTGGGTGTCAGTTGGCCCACTTCTTCTGGTGACAGTGTTGCCCCCTCGAGGAATTTGAGCCTCTTGCAGAATTGGGCTGGACATTCGCAGAGCAGGTGCTCTGCGGTTTCTATTGCGTCTGAGCAGAATCTGCAGAGATCGTCTTCCGCACTGCCCATTAACCTTAAATGGTATTTTACTGGGCAGTGTCCTGTGAGCAGTCCCACCACCAATCTGATGTCTGGTCTGCTCATGCTCAAGAGCTGTTCAGCTCTTTTTGCCGAAAGGGTAATAAACCTTTTTGACTGTCTGAGTCCCGGTGTGTGCCTCCAATATGATGACAGTTGGTCTTTCTCCCATTTGTTGAGTTCTTCCATGATGTGGCTTTTCATTAAGCCACAGTAGGGCTCTGGTCCATGGTATGGTGTTGAGGCCCCTTCCTTTGCGAGGCCATCTGCCTCTTCGTTTCCTTCTATGCCTCGATGACCAGGCAGCCACATCAGCGTTACCTGGTTATGTGTCGCTAGCGTTTTTAGGGTCTGTTTACACTCCCAGACTAGTTTTGACGTGCATTTGAAAGCCCTCAAGGCTTTTAAGGCAGCTTGGCTGTCCGATAGTATGAAGATGTGTTTTCTTTTGAGGCTTTGGTTAAGACACTCTTGTGCACATATATCTATGGCAAGCAGTTCGGCTTTAAATATTGTAAGATGTTTACCCAATGCCTTGGAGAGCTTGAAGTTAGGGCCGGAAATGCCCAGTCCAGCTCCTACCATTAGCTTGGATCCATCTGTGTACCACAGAGATGCATTGTCTGCTTGTGGTAGTTCTTTATTCTCCCATGATTGGCGGTCGTTTATTACCACTGCGAAGGGGATCTCTAAGTCCAATCTGACCATCATGTGGTCACTTGGTTTACTGGCATTCTCCAGTGTTATTAGATCAACGATTTTCAGATGTCCCCTCAGATCGCCAGGCTTGAACTTGTCTATTTGGAATAGCCTGTGAGCGCTGGTTATTGCCTCCTTTTGTCTCACATAGTAGGTGAAGTGGAGGCATGATGAGTAGCGTCTCTAGGGCTGCGGTGGGGCAAGTTGACATTGCTCCCGTTATTCCTAGACATATCAGCCTTTGCACCTTTCTTAGCTTAATCTGAGCGGTGACTTGTGGGCCACCACACCAATGAGGCGTATGTGACCATGGGCTTTATTATGGTTTGGTAGATCCAGAATACCATCTTTGGCTTTAGCCCCCATGTTTTGCCAACAAGTCTTCGGCATGACCAAATGGCTGATGTAGCTCGAGAGCATGTTTTCTCTAACTGTTTGTTCCAAGTGAGGGTTTAGTCCAGGGTGACCCCTAAGTACTTCACTTCGTTGGAAAATGTTAGTTGTGTACCGTTAAGGGTCGGGGCTTTCAAATTTAGCTTCCTTCTTCTTGTGAACGGGACAAGGATTGTTTTGTTTGCATTTAGGGATAGTCCTTCGCCTTCGCTCCAATTTTTAACACGATGTTTAGGGCACTTTGCATTCGGCTTGTCACTATACCTTCATGCTTGCCCTTGATTACAATGGCTAGGTCATCTGCGTAACCTATGACCTGGTATCCAGCACTACTCAGTCTGGTAAGAATTTTGTCTACCACCAATGTCCATAGTAGCGGAGAAAGAACATCCCCTTGAGGACACCCTCTGACCGTGGTAGCGGTAGCTGATGCTCCGTTTATTTCAGCCGTAACGTGACGGTGCTTCAGCATCGACTCTATTCATTTTACAATTGGAACTTCAACATCCCATTCTTGTAATGCTCTGGCGATTGATTGATGTGAGGTGTTGTCGAAGGCACCCTCTATGTCGATGAAAGCTGTGAGAGCGATCTCTTTACACTCGATTGTCTTTTCAATGTCTTTAACCAGGCAGTGTAAAGCACTTATTGTGGATTTGCCTGGCTGATAGGCAAATTGCTTCGAGTAGAGCGGTATTCTCAATAGAGTTTCGCTTCTGATGTACTGGTCGATTGCTTTCTCCATTGTCTTAAGGAGAAAAGAGGTTAGACTAATGCGACGATATGATTTTGGTTCGTCCTCGGGTCGGCGACCCGTTTTTGGTATGAATATCACATTAGCTTCCCTCCAAGATAGCGGTATGTGCCCTAGGAGCAGGCTTGCCTTAAAGAGCTTTTGTAGGTGTACCTTTAAGTACTCGTAGCCTTTTTGCAGTTGTGCGGGAAAAATCCCGTCTTTGCCTGGAGATTTGTAGAGTCTGAAGTTATCGATCGCCCATTTTATTCTGTTCATTGTGAAGATTTTCCCAGCCAGCCTTTTGCTCCTGCCGTTAGGGCTTTATTGTGGCCCTTCGATAGGCGGAGTGACCTGGTTCAGGGCTTCAACGATTACCGAACCTGGCTGGAAAGTGAGTTTGTAGTAGTACCTCTAGACTTTCTATATGGTCGGTACAGTGTTCTCCGTTTGGCTTTTTAAGCAGACCAAGTCCGTTTGAGTTGTTTTTTGAAAGAACTTTTTGGAGACGTTGAGCTGGGGCTAATTCGTCAATCCCCTCACAGAATTGTCTCCATGATTTCCTTTTTGATTTTCTTAATTCACGGTTGTACTTGTCTAGGGCTGTTCTATAGTCTGCCCAGTTGCCGTTAGTTTTTGCCTTGTTGAACAGTTTTCTGGCATCTTGTTTCAGACGTCTCAGCTGCCCGTTCCACCAAGGCACATCCCTGTGGACTGCCTTCTGTTTTACGGGACAACTGTTCTCATAGGAATCTTTTATCGCATTTGTTAGATTGTCAGATGATGCCTCTAGCTCTTCTATTGTATTTATGTCAGAAGGGAGTTCATCTAGACTCAGGCACAGACCCTCCACAAAGGATACCCAGTTGGTGAGTTTTGGGATTCTTGTCTGTACTGAGTGATTTATAACTGCCTCTAGGTCGAACCTTATTGCTTGATGGTCCGACAGGGAGGGTTCATTTGACACAAGCCAGTTGGTTATTGTGTTAGATGTAAATGTGTCAGCGAGAGTCACATCTAAGACCTTTTGTCTGACGGCGTTAATAAAAGTGGGTTTGTTACCTTTGTTGATAATGTCTACGTTGTTAGAGTTCAAATATTCAAAAAGGTACTCACCCCTTGCGTTTGTATCGGTGCTTCCCCATCCTACCTGGTGATGGGCGTTGGCGTCCGCCCCGATAATGTAGTGTCTGTTTCTCGCTCTGCACCACGTGATAAGTCGTTGGACGATCTCTGGCGGTGCTGAGTTTTCATCACCTGGAAAGTAGGCTGAGGCTATGAGAATATGCCTTGAGCCCCCCTCCGTTGGCACTTCTACTAAAGCAGCTGCCAAGTCTTGTGTGATGAACTCTGGAAAAGGTAAAAATTTTAAATTTTTGTCAAGCAGCAATGCTGCTCTTGGTCTTTCGTGGTTAATGTTGTAGATTAACTTACATGATTTGATATTTAGGCCTTTTATAGAGCCTCCATTGACCCAGGGCTCTTGAAGTAGCCCTACGTTGATTTTTTGTCCAAACATTCTTCTTCTAAGCTCACTAGTGGCAGCTTTTGAGTGTTGAAGATTTATTTGGATGCATTTGATGCATGGTGAGTTGCTTCTCTTTGGTTGCTTGGAGGGAGCCATTAGAGTTGCACTCACTTTTCGCACTCCACCTGGGCACTTTCGTCTTTATGACTCATTGAGTCTTTAGACGTTCCTGCCCTTGGTTCGGCGCCGCTTTTCTTTGGGGAGCTTGGTTGCTCCACAGCTGTTGTGCTCCGGCTGCTTTGCGGTTTTATAGTCGTATGACCGAACTTGTAACTTACCGCGTAGCCTCCGGATTTGAGTTTTTCTGCGGATGCACTGTCCACAGAAAAGGGTTAGTGTGACCAGATGGTCCTCGGCGTTACGTCGGATGACTCGCCAATTTTTGACGTTTAGGCCCTCATTTTGGCCTTGAACGAGATTGAGGATTTTCTCCGTGGAGTAATCCATGCTGCTTGGGAATCGAGCAACCAGGACGTCAGAGTGAGGAATGTCAGATTCCTCTACCATCCTTAGCGAAGCTTCCTCCCAAGGCTTGATGGAGGCGACTGCAGTTTGCAGCCACTGCTTGGTGGCTATGTTTTCGCAAACTAGAGCGAGCGAGCCGGGTCTGTCGTGGACGCTCAGAAACTTCGGTTTGACCGGGCAATCCGATGCTACCTCGTCCACGATCTTATCCATAATTGCCTCTGTGGTGGCTTGAATTTGCTCCACTGACAAAAGGCAATTGGGGAAGTCTGTAGGTAGTATTCCTACCTTTATGCCTCCAGCTATCTGGCTGAAGGTTGGTTTTGGAGCTCTGGAAGGCGCAGCACAGCTGCTCGTTTCTTTTTTTGTGGGCGGGGCATTTCTGCCCGTATCCCTTGTCCTACCTCTTTTTTTGGCTTGAGCCTCGGGGGTGTTTCCTTCTGACCGGGCTCTTTTTTCGCCCATTGTCAGAGGTTTTAGCCCTTTCTCAAGGGCCTTTTTGCGGGCTTCGTCTGCACTCATCCCTTTTTTTTTTGAGGAATTTCATCCTCTTTCTGGCAGCGTCACTCAGCCTGATCCTCACGTCGCCCTTCAGTCGTAAGGCACTCAGATCTTTGTAGTCTTACTTTACAAAACATCATTATTTTCAAAAAATCGTAACTCCGGTAATAATAACTCAATCGCTTTGAGTTTTTAGGATTTTTTACATTGAATCATTAGGAAAAAGTCCTCAAAATTTGAACTTTCCACTCATTTTAGTTTTTGAGTGAAAAAATTGTTTGTAAGTCTTACTTTACAAAACATCATTATTTTCAAAAAATCGTAACTCCATTAATAATAACTCAATCGCTTTGAGTTTTTAGGATTTTTTACATTGAATTATTAGGAAAAAATCCGCAAAATTTCAACTTTTCACTCACATAGTTCCAAAAATAAAATCGCGTTAAGCAATTTGGGGTAAATTTATCAATTTTTCAATTTTCTGAGTGCCTTTTTCCATAGATTTCGGCTTCAAGTCTCAGAATAATTTAGTTAGTGTATGGAGTTTGGGGGGTTCCCAGTCCTCAATGATCATTTAGACACAAAATCTCAACAACAAAAAAATTGGAATTTTATCGTTTTAGTAAAAAGTTAGCTTTACCCTTATGATTTGGATTTTTTAAAACTTTGAAAACCCATAACTTTTCTTCTATTATGGAAAACTGAAATTTTCAGCGATTCTTATCCCAGAAAAGGACTACAATTCCTGAATTTCACCTTATTTGGACTTATAGGTAGTTCCAGGAATAAAATCGCGTTAAGCAATAGGGGGTAGATTTATCAACTTTTCTATTTTCTGAGTGCCCTTTTTCCTAGATTTCGGCTTCAAATTTCAGAATAATTGAATTTATAGAGTTTGGGGAGTCTCAAAGAACCATGACACAAAATTTTAACGTAAAAAAATTTGAAATTTCATCATTTTAGTAAAAAGTTACCTTATGATTTGGATTTTTAAAAACCCATAACTTTTCTTCTATTACACAAAGAAAGCAGAAACTTTCAGCGATTTTTATCCCAGTAGAGGACTACAAATTTTCACTGAATTTTATTCCAATCAAGGGACTACAATCTCTGAAAATTTCAGTTCATTTGAAAAAAAATATCATCAAGACAATGAATTTTGAAAAAATAGAGTGATTTCTTCTCTATCAAATTTAGATATTAATAGTCTTGTAATATTGATTATTTTACATATTTATTTTGTAAATTATTTGATTTACACAACTCTTTCGAAAAATAATAATTATAATACAAATTATTTAATACCTATTTAAAGACAAAGAAACAATTAACTTAATAATTGAAATACAAAACAAAAAAGAAAATATCTTCTTAATCTTCTTTTTTCTTTTTCTTCCCTCCCTCTTCTATCAGCCTGCTTTTCTTTTTAAAACCCGACTCGCTAGTTCTAGTCTCCCTCCTCACCGGCGTCTCAACTTTTCCTTCGGCCTGCAACAAAATCTCAATCGGTTCCAAAGATTCTTGTTGCATTTGCAAGGCCATAGTGTACACAGTTCCGTTAGTTTTATTGTACATGAGGGCGTTTTGGAACATTAGCATTATGTCTCGCTTTAATTGTAAAGAAGTCCTTACAATTCCACTGTCAATGTTTTTCTTGATTGTTAACAAATCCATTGGTTTATAAATGAGGTTGCTATAACAAGGCGCTTGTTCGTCTGTGATTGGTTTTCTGAATAGTGACGCATATCTGTTACTAGCTAATCGGTTATAGACAAGCATTACTGATTTTTTCCAATTGCGGTGCTCTTTGTCGTCTTCATATAGAGCTACAGTTCCAGAAGCAGGTGAATTTGGGAATGAATCTATTGGAGTTTCTGGTTTGGGGGGTTTGGAATGGGAGTCTTCGTCTTCGGTCCAAGGGCTGAAGGAGCGTTCGCTTTCGGATTTGAGGCGTGTTTTTATGGTGCGTTTTAGGCCATCATCTGAGAGAGTTGGATCAGAATTTTTGTCCATGGACATTAGGAGCATATCGAAGCTTTTGTCTTCTTTCTTTTTTGGGCGAGAATAGTCTCTTTTTGTGCCTCCGGTTTTATCAATTTTCACTTCCATTTTAATGTTATCATCATATAAATCTTCAAAATTGTTTCCACTTTGCTGCTTTACAGTTTCAGTATCTGAAGTGGTTTTTTGGTCCGAAGAGGTTTCAGTTTCTTTTGTATCAACTTCAGCAACAATTTCAGGCTTTATTTCTTCAACATCTTTTTCATTATTAGATTTATTCTCTTCAACAGTTTCAGTTGCTATAGGATTTTCAGCAGCTTCAATACTTTTTCTTTCTTCAGATTTTATAGGAGATTGTTGTTGATACAAGGGAACATATTCCTGTTTCAATGTTGAAGGTTTTACTGGGGACTCAAATATAACAGGATCTTCTTGAAATTCAAACGGATCTACAACAGGAGCTGGTTTCTCTTTTTTAACTTCAGCCTGTTTTTTTGGTTCAATTACAGGTTCCGGCTCCAAATCATCAATTTCCAAATTAATACTTATATCGCCGTTTTTGTCCAATTGCAAATGCTGTTCTGGATCATCAACAATATCGTGATTTTCGATGATTTTTGAAATAATATCGTCAACTTCTTCCTTTTTGATTTCAAGAAACTGGCTATCCTCTTCTAAAATGCTCTTAGCTAAATCATCAATTTTTATATTGGAATCGTCCAATAAATCCAACTGATTGGGATTTTCTGTAACTTTATTTGCCAATTGCTGTGTTAAATTAGTATTTAACAGACTAGTAATAGCAGGACTATTTTCTGCCATTTTGCTGCTGCTACTAGTGATGACATTGTGCAAAATAGATGGAGTAGGAGTAATATTTTGCACTTGAGATGGTGATTTCAATAGGCTGGTCAATAATGGAGACAGTGCTGGTTTTGCAGGTTCTTGTTGAGGCACAGCTAATTGTTGCTGAATGTCAAAATAGGATTTAAGTTGCTGACTTGTTGGTGGCGGGGTTGTTGTTAAAAACTTAATAGCTTCTTTATTATCAGTAGTGGTAGTATCATCTCTGGTATCTTCAAAGTCTTCGGGGAGTTTACGTTTTTGAGCAACAGAAGAGGGTTTAATTGATTTGAGTACTTTTTCCATGTCTTGCTTTTTGGTTTCTCTTTGCTTTAACCACATAGCATCTTGTCCTTTTTTCAATTCCTCTTCATCAATTTCCTTGTCCCATTTGTCAATTTGTTGCTCAGTTGCCTGTCCGCTTTTTATAAGTTTAATGTCATCTTGTATTTGTTTGTATTCGGATTTTGCTTGGGCCATAAGTTTAGTTAGTTCGGCCTTTCTTTCAGCTACAAGTCGTCTTTTAATACATTCCACTGGTGGTTCTACAGGGGCATCTCCATTACCACCTCGCGATTTTCTTTTGGGGGTTTCAACAGTGCTCAGCAAAGCGCAATATTGAGCGGCGCAGTTTTTCTGATGAAACCAATCAGCCGGTCGATTTGCTCCTTCGAGTGACTTCATGGAACGACTCACCGTCATCCAGTGCTGATCGCCCATTTTCGCTACAAGGGACGCGAGGGTCAGTTTTTCTTTTATCGACCATTCGTCCAAAGGTTTGCGGTTGATTTGCGGTTTTGCTGCCGCTTGATTCTGCTGCATTTTTACTGTAATAATTTGCTCGTTATAGAAAGAATGGGTCAAAAAGGACGAAATAAAAATTACCTGATTTGATTAGTGAACAGTATAGATCGAACTACAACATTATTGTTTAAGGACAAGGGCCTGAAACAATTTAATTTTTTCAGAGGCGGATGCGGCCCTTTAAAAATAACAATAATAAAATATAACCTCAAAAACATTGAAATGTCAATTGTCAATCAAAGTAGAGGTAGGGACTTATCGATACGATTATAAAGTTTGATATCGATCTGCTCTCAAACCGAGGTTGTTTGACAGTTGCTTGTTAACTTTCATGACGTCATGTAGGGTGCCTTAACATAATTCAAATATCCATTAGATCCTCTTGATGACGTCATCCGTTTACCATTACCAGAAAACCTATTAATTTTAGGAACCCTGCCTTCGAACAATATTTTAAATAAAATTAATAAGGTTGTCTGGTAATGGGTAACTTGATAACGTATCTGGGGTGCCTTATGTAGATTTGTATTAGCTGTATTCCTTTCGAGAGTTTGAGACACTAGAGCTACTCGCTCCGGTGTTAGTCGCCCCGATTTGACAGGAACAGATGCGCTGGCTTTCGTGCATTTAAAACAGGGACCCGGACCGGAACGATATTGGACCGAAAACCGGAACGAAACCGTTTTTTTTTTTTTGCGGACCGGAACCGGAACGAAACCCATATTTCATAGAAATGTTGTAGGGCAGGCAGAACCGGAACCGATATAAATTAATCGGTTCTTACCGGTATTTTTCGGTTCCAAGATTTTATAAATTAAGCTGTTTGGTTGTATCATAATAAAATTAACACTTTAAAAAACAGAGCGTTGGACATTGGACAGCGCGCATTTCACTCAGCTAGGCTACACACCAAGGATTTTACAAACTACTACAGGATTGCTCATCGGCTTTGATTTTTGGAATTAAGTTCATATGTTGTTGAACCATTGGCGACGTCATCAACGGTCTCGTTAGCGGTTTCCGTTCGTAGTTAAGAATATACATGTATGATGAAAAAAATAATTTAAATTTGATTAACATAATAGTGAATAGACAAGAGGAAGATGCAAATGAGATCTAAACAAGCGGTTGTTTTAGAATATTAAATAATGTACTATGTGTTATGCATTTACTTTCCGAGGTATCGAGGAGTGCCAATAAAACAACTTATATAACAATGTATGACTTTAATTTATTTAGTTTATTGAGTTCGAGTCTAGAGCCACGTTGTCTCTCTTGTTGCGTGTAGTAAGTAGCTTCGTTCGTTATCGCCTCCCCTGCCTCAGCCAAGCTGCCCTTCGACCTACGGTCTCCGCATGTCATGTACCATCGTCACCAAAAGTATCTCGGACACAAATAATGCATAATAATCTCCTGGACTAATTCTACTGTCATTCATTTCAATGCATTTAATGCATAGTTTGACAAATATTTGACAATAAAATTTATATAATAGGACAAGAGCTAATAATGTGATGCTGTCCCAGTTACTTTTGGTGACGATGGTACATGCACACATATCAGTGCTTATTATTAAGCCCCGTACACAACACTATGGTTCTAAACCGTTTCGAAATAATGTCACGCTAAAAAGTTTTTATAATTTACAAAAGGAAATATTTTTCATAAAAAAACTGAATATTTTAATTTTCTATTCAAAGTTCAGTTCACTGACTTTTCGCAAAACTGCAAGTCGACGTTGCGACCAAAATCTGGACGTAACAATATATTCAAATCCACGTTTTAAAACCATTTCCTCGTGACGAGAAATTATGACGTCATTGTGAAACTGATTTAAACCAGTTTTGGAAAATGTTTGAAAACTTTGAGACGCGAGAGAACACCTCCTAATCCGTGGCGCAAGCACTACATCAAGGCGAGAAACAACACGCTGTTACGTCATCACTGATCGAAAACACAAAAATTTATTTTATTAATAGTAATTATTATGATTATTAAAGCTGTTGCAGATAGGCAGAGGAATCCAAAAAAAATAAACCACAAATTATAGAACCATAAATTTTTCTGTAATAACCGTTTTAAGGGATGCTTCTTGAAATAGTCAGTGCAAATGGCCATTAGATATTTGTGAAAAACTATACCGGTATGAACCGTTAAAACCGAAATTATTGGTCCGAACCGAATCGAAATATTTCTCTTAGAACCGAAACCGTAACGGAACCGATATTCGTCATGACGCTGTGGACCGGAACGGAACCGATATTTCATTTCGGTCCGGGTCCCTGATTTAAAATAGTTTGAGTTCGGGCTTGAGCAGTAGAGCAATCAACTATTATGTTGAAGCACCCCAGCCAGATGACGTCATAAAAGTTATGGCAACCTCAACCTACATTTGGTTTTAAATGACCAATGGCATGTAATATTGACAGTTGCGTTGTGGAGGGCGCTTCTGTACTTGGAGTTTTTTAAAATCTCCAAAGTTTAGTTTGACGTGTGTTTTATGCTTCCAAAACATAAAACGCACGTCAAAGCAAACTTTTAAGGTTCAAAACCAGTGTTCAAAACACTCGGTTATTTACGCGCCAAAATTTAAAAAACTCTTATTACAAAACAGAAGCGCTCTCTACAATTCAATTTTGAATATTACATGCCAAATTAATTAATTTTCAGATCAGCCTACTATAGCTGGGTTCGGCTATTCAGCGCGGAGTTGGAGTGGAGTGAACAGAGCTAATGGAGTCACCTTTAATACGGTAAAAAGCAATACCCGAACCTTAACCCGAACGGCTGGAGTGCGAATGGAGTCACTCCGAGTGCACGGAGTGAGCAAGCCGAAGTCACCCTATTAGACCAGAGACCAGAGTGGCAAAAAAGTAGTGCAGTGCATACAACCTTTAGCTTTTTAGGACCTCTTTTCATACAAAAAGTTACACAGGTATGCGCTACTTTTTTGCCACTCTATATACCGTAGGTCGGTATTTTGATCTGAGTTCTCCGAGCATAAATTTACCGTTCGTTTATTAAAAAAGTGTACTCGGTGCAGGCTCATTCACGTTCGTTTATTAAAATTTCGAGACCTCTGATACAGCGTTTCTGCTCTGTGCGCTCACCGGTCACGTGATTACGGCTCCGCTCTGCACTCTCTGCTCTTTGAGCAAAATAACAAACGCAAGGTATGTTCTGCTTTTATTACATTATATAGAGTAAAATTTAAATAATATTATGATAAACTATGTTCTTTCGTTGTGCTTCACAAAATTAAATTATAATTGGATTTGAAAGAATGTTTTTAACATGTAAAATCCTAATCATTCACTTTCGTCACTAGATATTTTATCAGTAGTGACGAAAGTAAAGTTTTCGGCTAAGGTGAAATATGACGAAGTTGTTTATTTTCTAACGGTCATAGAAAAAATGAAACAACATACATTATTATTAAAACCCAAGAATCGTGAACTAACAGGATTGCTCATCCTGAGAAGGCGTACGTTCGCCGGTTCTCGAGTCCACAAGGTCTGCGAGTGACGTCACCACGTCAGCTACTAATATTGGTGACGTCATCCGCAGACCTCGATGAAATTTTTGCGATTCAGGCTCGTTATTTGATTATTGCGTCGATTTTAAATGTAGCTATTTATGTAACAAGTTGTAAATTGATCGTGTTTTTTGCACTAAATGTGAAGAATGGGTGGAAAAAGCGGGAAAACCGGGACAATTCACGTGAAAAGCGGGACCTGAAATTATTTAAAAAAAGGCGGGACCGATTAACAAAATGCGGGACTGTCCCTCCTAAGGTGGGACGTCTGGCAACCCTGGATGAAACAAGAATTAAAAACAATTGGAACATTTAGGGCCGGTTTCTCAATAGCGAGTCACCTCCGGGTTGTTTTTAACTCCAGAGTTAACGTGTAAAATTGCAATGTTTACCCTGGAGTTAGCTTAACTCGGAGGTAACCTGCTATTGAGTACAGTGAGTTTATCACCACAGTGGCGAGAATTGCTGTCTTATTTTTGATTGGTTCTAAAATCCCATATATTTATATTGAAAACGCCGCCATCTTGTTCCCAACCTCCTGTTACTTTTAAATATGAATATATGGGATTTAGGTGAACATCCATCAAAAATCATGGGAAACAACGTATTTGATGGACCTAATAATGGTCATCAAATACGTCGATTTCAATTTTTTATGATAGATATGTCCATTTAAATCCTATTAATATTTAAAAGTAACAAGAGGTTGGGAACAAGATGGCGGCGGGACCTCTATTGTCGTCACTGTATATAAAGGTTTATTTAGCCACTGTACTATTGACGGCCATTTGCACCGTTGTAGCTTAAGGGATATTTATTCCAAGTAGAGCTTTGAATGTGACTCTTGTAGAAACAAAAGTCACAATCAAAGCTCCACTTAGATTAAATATGCCTAAGTAATCGCCATGCAAATGGTCATGAGAAACCGGCCATTAGAGAAACAGTTTCAGTTTACAAATCACGTGTCTGTCAAAAAAAAAATTAGCTGGATATTTCGGGTATGTAGTCTGTATAGTATATTAATATATATAGTATTTCTTTTACTATTTCTATGATTTCATGAACAAGCTTTCGAGAGAAACTCATGACGTCATATTGAACGTTGTTCGCCGGAAGAATGGACGCAGCTTCTAATCAGCGTTCAAACTCAACTATGGTTCGCCCTTGGATGAACTATACATTCGTCGCGAAAATTCGCTTAAAGTAGGTTGTCTGGGGTAATGGCTAACTTATGGCCGTTTGCACCGACTATTTTAAGGAAGCCTTATAAGTATTCCTCAAATGGCCGGTTGCACCGATTATTTTGAGGAAGCCTTAACGATAAGTATCCCTCAAAATGACATTTTTACGTGCAGATATGTCACTTTAAGGAATACTTATCGCTAAGGCTTCCCTAAAATAGTTGGTGTAAAACGGCCATCAATGACTTATCTGGGGTGCCTTATGGAGATTTGTATTATGTTGAGGCACTCCAGATAACGTCATAAAAGCTATCAGGCAGTCTATACGTATCTGAAGAAGCTCCAAACGAGATACGAATATCACTGAGACTCTTCAAGAAGAAAAAAGAGATATTAATTTGGGAAGGTCCCAGGAAATATATCAGGAAAAGATTTTGAGATATCCAAAGATATCAAGGAGATTACTATAGATCCAAGTAAATGTGAGGGGATTCAGAAGATATCTGAAAAGATTCAGAGAAGACTTTGTTTGGGACACTTTGTTAAAGATATTTGTATCCCAAAAGAAGAAATCATAATATAATTGTGTCACGATTTACAGGGTGTCCGGAAAATACCGTAAAAGCTCTCCACTACGTAGTAGGGGACCCTTCAAGGAACCCCAGAAAAATAATTTAAAAAATCTGGTGGCATTCTCAAGAAAGTTATTAGCATTTTAATGCTGAAAAATTCGAAGGTGACTGAAAAATGTTGTCAGATCAATTTTTCCTGTTGTGATTTAGAGATTTTGCAATTTTCATAATGCGTTTTAAAGGTTAATAACAAATTTTTTTAAACTAATATATAATGAATCAATAAAAGATACTGATACTTTGTACAAAATATTAGAATTTGAAAGAAAAATCAAAAATAAGGAAGTTGAATTTCCACATTTACTTCTTCATATTTCCAAGAATGGTCGAGAAGGATTTTTTAAATTATTTTTCCAGGGTTACTCAAAGGATCCCCTACTACGTAGTGGAGAGCTTTTACGCTATTTTCCGGACACCCTGTATTTGTGTTTATTTCTATTTTGAATAATAATGTCACAATTGCCCGCTTTACGGGGGTGTTTGTAGCTTTGGGGGTTGATGGAGAGAAACTCGCTCAGGTTATATAAAAATATAGATATATATTTTCCCAAATATGTACGCTAATCCTATAAGATGCTTGACCCTTCGAACACTGGGGTCTTTATAGGGGGCCACACGTCAACGCTGCTTGGGGGACTGTAGATTAGTTATCGTCACCCTCATGCCTTGTCCAGAGGGGCGTTCCCAACGAGAGGTAATTGCACTGGACAACGATAAGGCTGAAGATACCCAGAGGGGCTTTCCCAACGAGAGGTACTTGCACTGGTTTAAGTCTGCCTTTGCTGCGGCTTGCAGAATTGCAATAAACATCCGATCGAATCGGCAATTAAATTAATAAGGTTAAATACCGGGTCCTCCTTTCCTTAGCAGCTAGTTGACAATAATTCCAAGTTTTCATGCAATATAAAATATTCAAAATCTTGTTTAGACAAAATTATAAACAAAGATTCACAAAAAATCGATAAAAGATAATACCAAATTGTTTATTCAACGATAGCCTTTTTGAACCTATCGACCTCCTTGATATAAACTTTTTAAATTCACTTTGTACTTATATAGAAACAGGACAGTTGTGGTGCACTTCCAGTATCAATAAGTTTGTTCTTGGAGGAACAATTGATAAATAAATGATTAAAAACAAAACATATCCAGAAGCATTTGAAGATAATATACTGGAGGCTATTTTTGGATACTATTATTGTAAAGGTAACATACCTCATATCAATAATGTATAATATGTATAATGAAATTATTAAAAATTTGAAGATTGTGCAAGAAAAATCATGTCAGTGCCGCAAGCAGCTTTCGCAGCCAAAAAGGTGAGAAAAAACCTGGAAAAACACGATCCAGAACCCAAGTCCGAGACCCGCTACAACGGCAAATACATGAACAGCATTTGGGGCATGTACAATCGCTTTTCGGTGCACAATTTGAAGAAAATCATGGACAATAATAATAATCAGCCGCAGTAAGAATTTTTCTGGCTTTTGTTTATTGGAAATTGTTAATTTTTTTTTTTTGTAGGATAAACTCTGCACCGAGATTAGTCGGTAGTTCTCATTTATCAGTATCCGTTGAAAGACTGACCTATTTGCCATTGTGATAAGATTTTCTATTAATAAAAATTATATACTATAGGTATTTGTTGTTGTATTTAGTGTATTTTTACCTATGGAATTCGACATAAATATTTTCCCAGTTATTTGGTTTTTGCCAAAGCGAAAAGACTTCCAAAAAATTTCAAAAAATGTTTATTAAATAATTTATTATTGCTAAAATAAACAATTATAAAAATTACATATATGTACTATATTTTGATTTGGCTTTGAGGTAATCGATTGGATATCGTTGTGCCAGATTAATAAAGAAAATTTTAACTTAAAAAATTGAGCATTATTAATTAATTGCGATCTACAATAATCTATGACTAAAGTAGTATCATTATTTTTAATCAACAATTCTATTGAGCATGCTCTAAACTGACTTCAAAAACTGGAGCACATTTCAAAACTATCTCCGCGGCATCTTGTCTATCTAACTCATGCAAACTCGTTATGAGGGCACCTAAAGATTTATCTCTAATATTAACCCATTAAAACAAATCAAAATCCTCTTTACCTATGGTACATTCAGCGCTCGTAAGCAACCTCATAGTATGACTAGAATGCTGTGAAGCCAAAGCGGCGATTTTTTTCTGGCAAAGCCCTAACCGAAGAGCTAAAAGGCACCAATCCCGTCCATGAGGCTCAGGAGGGTCCAAAAACCCACACAAACGTAATTTAACTGGACCTGGGAGCTGTTGCACTTTAAGAGCGCAACCCCATTGGATGTTTGGAGCTAAATCCATATCATCTATGAATGGACAGTATGAAAGTTTACGCAATAAGCCAAATATTTACTTACCAAACATTACAATTTGACTAATAGTTTCATGAGAATTAGTATTAGGATTATACAAAATAACATCTAAAGTTGATTCAGCTTCCATAATAGCTGTGGTAATTATTTGAGGGCTATAACAGTGAGGGTTTTCTGAATAGAGCCTCAATTCTTCAGGGCTTAAGATGTGAGTTTCTTGCAACAAACCTGGACAAATTTGAGCGATTGCCTTGTTAACAATGCCCATAATGTTGTCCAAAAAGTAAAAACAACTTTGCGCTGATTGCTTATTTGGTCCCCTAACTTTAATTTCAATAAATTGCACGCTGTTTTGATTTTCTTCTAACGTAATCAAGCTTTCCAATTCCATGTTGCAATATTTTGAGCCCGAACTCCATTGGAATAAGTCACTGTTATCAGTGTAAACTGTGCCTAAGTTTTTACGTAAATTTACCTAAAAGGAATTGGCTTATAAGTATAGTGTATTTATATATAATTACACTAACTGACTTGTATATGACTAAAAATTGCTTTAAACAAATGAAAAATCCCTGAAGAAGTATACAGTCTCGAACCTCCATAAATTGACTCACTATTAGCATCATTCGAAACCCACAAACCGTTTAATGTTTCGGTTTGTATGTAAATGGGAAATTCGTATTCAATTTCGCCATCTACGTCGCACTAAAAATAAAGTCAATTATTTATAAATTTTTAAGATTCATTAAGCTAGTTTTTACTTGCACACATAAATCCAAACATTGCAACAATTCCAAAACGCAATTGGAATCGCATTGAGTGTAGCAACTTTGAAAGTCTTCGGCTGTGTAAACTCCCATTACTCTGGCGTGGGAAATGAAGTTTGTGGATAGCAGTTCGCCTAGTAATTGGGTACCGAGCCATGGTACTGAGAGTACTATGAGATAGTCTATGATGTAAACCTAAATTTTAATTGTAGGTAATTAAAGCAAAGTTTCAACTCTGACGACTCGGAAATAGTGAATATTAGTGAAATGTAAATTTTGTCTCAAATTTTGGAAAAGTTTTTCTCAAAAACGAAGCCCTCAAGCTCGGAGTCTTAAATAACCTTTTTTGAAGCTCCAATTGAGAGCTACAATTAGGACAAATTTCGTACCGATAGCTTTTGCGGTTTCAGAAATATGGCCCTTTGAAATATTTGAAAATTGTATTACCATGGAAAACTTCAAATTTTTAAATTTTTAATTTTTCAAATTTTTAACTTCACCAATCAAAAGAGGAGGTGAAAATTAGTGGAAAATCGTTTTTGCAACTGGTTTTTTCGAAGTTTTAGGGCTTGCAAAAAATTAAAAATCAATTTCACATTTTTGCTCTTGAAATTTTTTGATTTTTTGACATTGCCTCACAAAATCGCCCATAACTTTGTTAATATTTCCAAAATCCCAATACAAAATTATATTTTTATAATCAAGATTAAATACTCTTTGAGATGAAACAAGATTTAAATTTATAGCTCAAATAGTTTTTGAGATACTGAGGCTCAAAGTTGAAACTTGGTCTCAAATTTTCGAAAACCCCTAAAGCTGTTTTTCTCAAAAACGAAGCCTTTAGGCTCAGAGTCTTAAATAACCTTTTTTGAAGCTCCAATTGAGAGTTACTATCAAGACAAATTTCGTGCCGAAAGCTTTTGTGGTTTTAGAAATATGGCCTTTTGGAATATTTGAAAATCGAATTTCCATTTGGAAAAATTAAAAAATTTTAATTTTCAGTTTTTCAAATTTCTAACTTCACCAATCGAAAGAGGAGATTAGAATTAGTGGAAAAACTTTTTCGCAATTTGGTTTTTCGAAATTTTAGGGCTTGTAAAAAATTAAAAATTGATTTCGCATTTTCGGTCTCGACATTTTTCGTTTTTTTGACATTGCCTCACAAAATCGCCCATAACTTTGTTAATATTTCCAAAATTCCAATACAAAATTATACTTTTATAATCAGGATTAAATGCTCTTTGAGATGAAACAAGATTTAAATTTATAGCTCTAATAGTTTTTGAGATATTGAGGCTCAAAGTTGAAACTTTGTCTCAAATTTTGAAAAACCTTAAAAGCTGTTTTTCTCAAAAACGAAGCCTTTAGGCACGGAGTCTTAAATAACCTTTTTTGAAGCTGCAATTAAGAGTTACTATAAGGACAAATTTCGTGCCGAAAGCTTTTGTGGTTTTAGAAATATGGCCTTTTGGAATATTTGAAAATCGAATTTCCATTTGGAAAAATTAAAAAAATTTAATTTTCAGTTTTTCAAATTTCTAACTTCACCAATCGAAAGAGGAGATTAGAATTAGTGGAAAAACTTTTTCGCAATTTGGTTTTTCGAAATTTTAGGGCTTGTAAAAAATTAAAAATTGATTTCGCATTTTCGGTCTCGACATTTTTCGATTTTTTGACATTGCCTCACAAAATTGCCCATTACTTTGTTAATATTTCCAAAATTCCAATACAAAATTATATTTTTATAATCAGGATTAAATGCTCTGTGAGATGAAACAAGATTTAAATTTATAGCTCTAATAGTTTTTGAGATACTGAGGCTCAAAGTTGAAACTTGGTCTCAAATTTTCGAAAACCCCTAAAGCTGTTTTTCTCAAAAACGAAGCCTTTAGGCTCAGAGTCTTAAATAACCTTTTTTGAAGCTCCAATTGAGAGTTACTATCAAGACAAATTTCGTGCCGAAAGCTTTTGTGGTTTTAGAAATATGGCCTTTTGGAATATTTGAAAATCGAATTTCCATTTGGAAAAATTAAAATATTTTAATTTTCAGTTTTTCAAATTTCTAACTTCACCAATCGAAAGAGGAGATTAGAATTAGTGGAAAAACTTTTTCGCAATTTGGTTTTTCGAAATTTTAGGGCTTGTAAAAAATTAAAAATTGATTTCGTATTTTTGGTCTTAACATTTTTCGATTTTTTGACATTGCCTCACAAAATCGCCCATAACTTTGTTAATATTTCCAAAATTCCAATACAAAATTATATTTTTATAATCAGGATTAAATGCTCTTTGAGATGAAACAAGATTTAAATTTATAGCTCTAATAGTTTTTGAGATATTGAGGCTCAAAGTTGAAACTTTGTCTCAAATTTTGAAAAACCTTAAAAGCTGTTTTTCTCAAAAACGTAGCCTTTAGGCTCAGAGTCTTAAATAACCTTTTTTGAAGCTCCAATTGAGAGTTACTATCAAGACAAATTTCGTGCCGAAAGCTTTTGTGGTTTTAGAAATATGGCCTTTTGGAATATTTGAAAATCGAATTTCCATTTGGAAAAATTAAAATATTTTAATTTTCAGTTTTTCAAATTTCTAACTTCACCAATCGAAAGAGGAGATTAGAATTAGTGGAAAAACTTTTTCGCAATTTGGTTTTTCGAAATTTTAGGGCTTGTAAAAAATTAAAAATTGATTTCGTATTTTTGGTCTTAACATTTTTCGATTTTTTGACATTGCCTCACAAAATCGCCCATAACTTTGTTAATATTTCCAAAATTCCAATACAAAATTATATTTTTATAATCAGGATTAAATGCTCTTTGAGATGAAACAAGATTTAAATTTATAGCTCTAATAGTTTTTGAGATATTGAGGCTCAAAGTTGAAACTTTGTCTCAAATTTTGAAAAACCTTAAAAGCTGTTTTTCTCAAAAACGAAGCCTTTAGGCTCAGAGTCTTAAATAACCTTTTTTGAAGCTCCAATTGAGAGTTACTATTAAGACAAATTTCGTGCCGATAGCTTTTGTGGTTTTAGAAATATGGCCTTTTGAAATATTTGAAAATCGAATTTCCATGCATAACCCTTTGTTTGGAACAATTAAAAATTTTTAATTTTCAGTTTTTCAAATTTCTAACTTTACCAATCGAAAGAGGAGGTCAAAGTTAGTGGAAAAGCTTTTTTGCAATTTGGTTTTTCGAAATTTTAGAGCTTGTAAAAAATTAAAAATTGATTTCGCATTTTTGGTCTCGACATTTTTCGATTTTTTGACATTGCCTCACAAAATTGCCCATTACTTTGTTAATATTTCCAAAATTCCAATACAAAATTATATTTTTATAATCAGGATTAAATGCTCTTTAAGATGAAACGAGATTTAAATTTATAGCTCAAATAGTTTTTGAGATATTGAGGCTCAAAGTTGAAAATTTGTCTCAAATTTTGAAAAACCTTAAAAGCTGTTTTTCTCAAAAACGAAGCCTTTAGGCTCAGAGTCTTAAATAACCTTTTTTGAAGCTCTAATTGAGAGTTACTATTAAGACAAATTTCGTGCCGAAAGCTTTTGTGGTTTTAGAAATATGGCCTTTTGGAATATTTGAAAATCGAATTTCCATTTGGAAAAATTAAAATATTTTAATTTTCAGTTTTTCAAATTTCTAACTTCACCAATCGAAAGAGGAGATTAGAATTAGTGGAAAAACTTTTTCGCAATTTGGTTTTTCGAAATTTTAGGGCTTGTAAAAAATTAAAAATTGATTTCGTATTTTTGGTCTTAACATTTTTCGATTTTTTGACATTGCCTCACAAAATTGCCCATTACTTTGTTAATATTTCCAAAATTCCAATACAAAATTATATTTTTATAATCAGGATTAAATGCTCTTTGAGATGAAACAAGATTTAAATTTATAGCTCTAATAGTTTTTGAGATATTGAGGCTCAAAGTTGAAACTTTGTCTCAAATTTTGAAAAACCTTAAAAGCTGTTTTTCTCAAAAACGAAGCCTCTAGGCTCAGAGTCTTAAATAACCTTTTTTGAAGCTCCAATTGAGAGTTACTATTAAGACAAATTTCGTGCCGATAGCTTTTGTGGTTTTAGAAATATGGCCTTTTGAAATATTTGAAAATCGAATTTCCATGCATAACCCTTTGTTTGGAACAATTAAAAATTTTTAATTTTCAGTTTTTCAAATTTCTAACTTTACCAATCGAAAGAGGAGGTCAAAGTTAGTGGAAAAGCTTTTTTGCAATTTGGTTTTTCGAAATTTTAGAGCTTGTAAAAAATTAAAAATTGATTTCGCATTTTTGGTCTCGACATTTTTCGATTTTTTGACATTGCCTCACAAAATTGCCCATTACTTTGTTAATATTTCCAAAATTCCAATACAAAATTATATTTTTATAATCAGGATTAAATGCTCTTTAAGATGAAACGAGATTTAAATTTATAGCTCAAATAGTTTTTGAGATATTGAGGCTCAAAGTTGAAAATTTGTCTCAAATTTTGAAAAACCTTAAAAGCTGTTTTTCTCAAAAACGAAGCCTTTAGGCTCAGAGTCTTAAATAACCTTTTTTGAAGCTCTAATTGAGAGTTACTATTAAGACAAATTTCGTGCCGAAAGCTTTTGTGGTTTTAGAAATATGGCCTTTTGGAATATTTGAAAATCGAATTTCCATTTGGAAAAATTAAAATATTTTAATTTTCAGTTTTTCAAATTTCTAACTTCACCAATCGAAAGAGGAGATTAGAATTAGTGGAAAAACTTTTTCGCAATTTGGTTTTTCGAAATTTTAGGGCTTGTAAAAAATTAAAAATTGATTTCGTATTTTTGGTCTTAACATTTTTCGATTTTTTGACATTGCCTCACAAAATTGCCCATTACTTTGTTAATATTTCCAAAATTCCAATACAAAATTATATTTTTATAATCAGGATTAAATGCTCTTTGAGATGAAACAAGATTTAAATTTATAGCTCTAATAGTTTTTGAGATATTGAGGCTCAAAGTTGAAACTTTGTCTCAAATTTTGAAAAACCTTAAAAGCTGTTTTTCTCAAAAACGAAGCCTTTAGGCTCAGAGTCTTAAATAACCTTTTTTGAAGCTCCAATTGAGAGTTACTATTAAGACAAATTTCGTGCCGATAGCTTTTGTGGTTTTAGAAATATGGCCTTTTGAAATATTTGAAAATCGAATTTCCATGCATAACCCTTTGTTTGGAACAATTAAAAATTTTTAATTTTCAGTTTTTCAAATTTCTAACTTTACCAATCGAAAGAGGAGGTCAAAGTTAGTGGAAAAGCTTTTTTGCAATTTGGTTTTTCGAAATTTTAGAGCTTGTAAAAAATTAAAAATTGATTTCGCATTTTTGGTCTCGACATTTTTCGATTTTTTGACATTGCCTCACAAAATTGCCCATTACTTTGTTAATATTTCCAAAATTCCAATACAAAATTATATTTTTATAATCAGGATTAAATGCTCTTTAAGATGAAACGAGATTTAAATTTATAGCTCAAATAGTTTTTGAGATATTGAGGCTCAAAGTTGAAAATTTGTCTCAAATTTTGAAAAACCTTAAAAGCTGTTTTTCTCAAAAACGAAGCCTTTAGGCTCAGAGTCTTAAATAACCTTTTTTGAAGCTCTAATTGAGAGTTACTATTAAGACAAATTTCGTGCCGAAAGCTTTTGTGGTTTTAGAAATATGGCCTTTTGGAATATTTGAAAATCGAATTTCCATTTGGAAAAATTAAAATATTTTAATTTTCAGTTTTTCAAATTTCTAACTTCACCAATTGAAAGAGGAGGTTAGAATTAGTGGAAAAACTTTTTTGCAATTTGGTTTTTCGAAATTTTAGGGCTTGTAAAAAATTAAAAATTGATTTCGCATTTTTGGTCTCGACATTTTTCGATTTTTTGACATTGCCTCACAAAATTGCCCATTACTTTGTTAATATTTCCAAAATTCCAATACAAAATTATATTTTTATAATCAGGATTAAATGCTCTTTAAGATGAAACGAGATTTAAATTTATAGCTCAAATAGTTTTTGAGATATTGAGGCTCAAAGTTGAAAATTTGTCTCAAATTTTGAAAAACCTTAAAAGCTGTTTTTCTCAAAAACGAAGCCTTTAGGCTCAGAGTCTTAAATAACCTTTTTTGAAGCTCTAATTGAGAGTTACTATTAAGACAAATTTCGTGCCGAAAGCTTTTGTGGTTTTAGAAATATGGCCTTTTGGAATATTTGAAAATCGAATTTCCATTTGGAAAAATTAAAATATTTTAATTTTCAGTTTTTCAAATTTCTAACTTCACCAATTGAAAGAGGAGGTTAGAATTAGTGGAAAAACTTTTTTGCAATTTGGTTTTTCGAAATTTTAGGGCTTGTAAAAAATTAAAAATTGATTTCGTATTTTTGGACTTAACATTTTTCGATTTTTTGACATTGCCTCACAAAATCGCCCATAACTTTGTTAATATTTCCAAAATTCCAATACAAAATTATATTTTTATAATCAGGATTAAATGCTCTTTGAGATGAAACAAGATTTAAATTTATAGCTCTAATAGTTTTTGAGATATTGAGGCTCAAAGTTGAAACTTTGTCTCAAATTTTGAAAAACCTTAAAAGCTGTTTTTCTCAAAAACGAAGCCTTTAGGCTCAGAGTCTTAAATAACCTTTTTTGAAGCTCCAATTGAGAGTTACTATCAAGACAAATTTCGTGCCGAAAGCTTTTGTGGTTTTAGAAATATGGCCTTTTGAGATATTTGAAAATCGAATTTCCATGCATAACCCCTTTGTTTGGAAAAATCAAAAATTTTTAATTTTCAGTTTTTCAAATTTCTAACTTCACCAATTGAAAGAGGAGGTTAGAATTAGTGGAAAAACTTTTTCGCAATTTGGTTTTTCGAAATTTTAGGGCTTGTAAAAAATTAAAAATTGATTTCGTATTTTTGGTCTTAACATTTTTCGATTTTTTGACATTGCCTAACAAAATTGCCCATTACTTTGTTAATATTTCCAAAATTCCAATACAAAATTATATTTTTATAATCAGGATTAAATGCTCTTTGAGATGAAATAAGATTTAAATTTATAGCTCTAATAGTTTTTGAGATATTAAGGCTCAAAGTTGAAACTTTGTCTCAAATTTTGAAAAACCTTAAAAGCTGTTTTTCTCAAAAACGAAGCCTTTAGGCTCGGAGTCTTAAATAACCTTTTTTGAAGCTGCAATTAAGAGTTACTATAAGGACAAATTTCGTGCCGAAAGCTTTTGTGGTTTTAGAAATATGGCCTTTTGAAATATTTGAAAATCGAATTTCCATGCATAAATAACCCCTTTGTTTGGAAAAATCAAAAATTTTTAATTTTCAGTTTTTCAAATTTCTAACTTCACCAATTGAAAGAGGAGGTTAGAATTAGTGGAAAAACTTTTTCGCAATTTGGTTTTTCGAAATTTTAGGGCTTGTAAAAAATTAAAAATTGATTTCGTATTTTTGGTCTTAACATTTTTCGATTTTTTGACATTGCCTCACAAAATTGCCCATAACTTTGTTAATGTTCCACAAATTCCAATACAAAACTATACTTTTATAATCAGGATTAAATGCTCTTTAAGATGAAACAAGATTTAAATTTATAGCTCTAATAGTTTTTGAGATATTGAGGCTCAAAGTTGAAACTTTCAAAAACCTTAAAAGCTGTTTTTCTCAAAAACGGCTTGGAGTCTTAAATAATCTTTTTTGAAGCTCTGATTGAGAGCTACAATTATGAAAAATTTCGTGCCGATAGCTTTTGCGGTTTCAGAAATGTGGCCCTTTGAAATATTTGAAAATCGAATTTCCATGCAATCCCCAATTTTTAAATTTTTTCACCCATCGAAAGAGGAGGTCAAAATTAGTGGAAAAGTGTTTTTTTTTTTTTTTAAATACTAACAAGGCTTTTTTGTAGGCAATTTAATTCTCTATCAAATGAGACATTATTCAAAGTAATTGGGTTAAGGATAGTCGATATATAGTATAACTGTTTTAGTGGTGTCACGTCGATTTAGCTAAATTTTGTCCAAAATTCTTTCTTAAATTTTTTTACACAGTTAGGAAGCGTTGGACGTAAAATTGCCAATAGACCTTTTCGATTCCTTTTCGCCTTTTCATTAGATAAAATGTTTTGTTTCTTCGAAATTCGAAGAAAAAGTTTATTTCCATTTTTGAGGCATCCCAATAAGGAATTAAATTCTTTTAGTTCCCCTTCACCCTCTACTGGCACAAATGAAATGATTTCAGAATAAAATAAGAACCCAAAGTTTGTAAGGAAGATTCAAAGTAAAATTTGAAGAAGCAAGTTGAAGTTTCCAAAGAGCTGGGAATTGATGAGATTTTCAAAGAAGAGTTATAGGGGCGATACCTACTTGGTCAGGATTTTTAGAGAAAAGAGAGAGTTTTCCAGTTGTATAGAGGATTTCCAGAACTTTCAATTTCTTTGACATACTTTCAAGTTTGTATTATTGATAATTACCTCTCCCATAACATGCAATTGATTCAACAGTTCTTGTATGTGCTCATCAGAAGCAAGCAAATTGACTTGGCCCCGTAACAAATCGGAAAATCGAGCCCTAGTTATTACAGGAAATTGTTCGTGATCCATTCTTAGGATTCCCATCCAAGACAAGGCGCTTTCCAATAAACCAGTCCAAGTACCAATGGTTTGCTGAAATACATTTCAAATAATTTGGTAGGTAAAACATATATGTAGGTACCTGTATGCAGTTTTGCTTAACATTTCCCAAAATAACTTTAAATTGTTTGAAAGCAAACGAAGCAGGCACATTTGAATCCATAATAATTACAACATCCATTAAATTGGGCACGTGAGGTAGATGTTTTTGAACTGTTTCCAGGGTTTTTTGAGCGTCCGGACAAAGCCACTCGCCCTGCTGTGTTTTCGCCGCTCTGCTTAAATCCACGTGAGTGGCTACTAGAATTATTGGACCATAATCACCTAAAACTATCAATGATTGATTGATTTATTAAAGTTGCAATATGATTACTTAATGGAAGATCAGCTTTTTGTCTGGCCATTAGGAAATTCAGCCAAAAACAAACTTGTTGGACTTGGATTGCGGCCGAGTCGTCTAGGCTGAATAAAATTGCGGTTATCGCATATGGCGAGGGCCACAAGAAGTGATGGTAAACCGGGAAATAGGTTTCTTGTCCTGAGAATTCCCATACTGTTATTTCGCCTACGTTTGATATGTCTAACTATAATGATAATAATTATATTTATATTGTCAGTGATTTTTCATATATTTAGAACCATTTCTAGAACTATTTTGAGGTATTTTTGGGATTCACATCTTATTTATCTTTAACAATTTAAAGTATTCCTCATACAATTATAGAGTTCTAGAGTTAGTTCTAAAAACAAAAAACCCATTACATTTTGTACATGAATCCCATTAGTCGAATGATAATTAACCGAAGGCAATTCGAAATTAATCGAATTTTGCCTCGAAGTAACATCCATTTCTATTTGTGTACTAACAGGCGAAGATGGCCTAGCTAAAAATGACTCACTACATTACTAAGTAGTTTCTACAAAAGCAAAATCAACTAACATTTATTACTTTGCAGGGAACTAGAACGTCTAAAAAGCGAACTAAAAAGACCGGCCCCTAAACTTTTAACAAACGAGGTTTTTCCAACCCCGCAATGACCTAAAAGCCTTAAATTCAGCCTCAAAGCTGGCCTGGATGTGGGTACGAGTTGCCTGGCAAAGTGATCTCGTTGACCTGAACTCCTCAAGCGATCCAACAAATCCGCTATATCATTATGACCATACTTTAAAGCTGTTATATCAGCTCTAATGTTATCCGTATTTCGTGCTTCTATATTACAGCCTGCCGCACACAGACATCTTACGACTGAAATATGGCCATTTTTAGCAGCCAAATGTAACGGGTACAGGCCTTTAGCTGTCGGTACTTCCACGGTACAACCATAGGCACAGAGTACTTTGACTATGTCTAGTAGGCCAAGATTGCAGGCAATATGAATCGGTTGATCTCCGTTCTGAAAGCAACAATTAAAACACAATGAGTTATATATAAATTAATTACCGAATCTTTGAGTTCAAAATTAGCACCAGATTCTAAAAGAATTGTAGCAATTTTTGTGTTGCTTTTTCGCAATGCCAGGTGCAAAGCTGGATCTGGACCAGTGTCTAGTTCGCTACCACTTTCAATTAAATATCTACAATAATTTGTATAATTTGAGTATTGATATATGGATGTAATTGTTAATAAATTCTTACCTAACTTGTTCAATTGAATTTCTTCTTACAGCAAATTGTAAGGCTGTGTATTCGAAAGAATCTGAGGGGCTGTAGGAGCTTTGCCGAGAAGTCATGTTGTTGTTTTTGGTTAGCTTCGTCAGCTGTTTGTAGCTGGATCGATTTTGCTTTGTATATGGCTACGAAACTTGCCCAGATTCGTAAAAACTATTTTGTTAAATCAAATTATATTTTGATTGTGTGTATAACAGCTTTAAATTCTAAGAAAATGTTAAAGAAGTATATGTATTTAATGGAAAATCAAAAGTCGAATCTTTGATCAACTTTTGTATACATATTTGAATTACTTATTAACGAGTAAATTGAATTATTAGGAACTTGTTCAATTAATCAGTTGTAGAAGAATATCTTACTTGAATTTTTATCAATGCGGATTTTAGTTATAATTATGAGTTGAACACTGCGGGACGAGCGCAGCGAGTTCCGCAGCAATTTACTCATTATTCAACTCAACTTGTTGAATTAAGTTTTTGAATTTTTGAGTAGAACTTCACTTCCTCAATTTACTCATGATCAGATCAGTTTCGCATCTATTTAAACAGTCTATTGATGAGTAAAATTGCTGCGGAACTAAGTTGTAACACAAAATATGTCACAATCCCACAATCGGTCACAATGGGTACATTCAGGCGGTCCCAGCGGCTAAGTTCAGCCACTCAGCAGGGATTTTATTCTCGAAACCAAGGAACAGCGTTCTCATAAGAACGATTACTCTGTTATTGTCAGTGTTATGCCGGACGACAAAGACAGAACCTTCGTTCCAATGAGAACGCTGCTCCCCTATTTCGAGAATAAAGTTCCTGCCGAGTGGCTGAACTTAGCCGCTGGGACCGCCTGAAAGTGCGCAGTGTAATTTTGGAAAAAATCACAATTCCATCCAAATAGGCTACCTAGAATTATGAAACCAAAATATAAAACAATAAATTTCCTTTAATGAAAATAATAATTACAAACAAACTTAGGCATAATTTAATTAATTATTCACATTTGTACCACCGCGAAATTTATACTATATAACATTGTACATTGCAATAAATTAACTATAAATCTATTTTTTGACAAGAAAAAAAAATACTTCATTTGTATCATAGCAGTACCAAAATGTAATTGTGCAATAATTAAAATATATAAAATAATAATTAATAAGATCTAATAGCAGGAGGTACAGTTTTACATTCGGCTTCGTCTAAAGTTTTATCAATAACTTCTCTATATCTTATAGAAACTGCTCCTGTTTTAGCATCGATATCTGTCAAGGTATGTTTCCTCCAGTGCTGTTCCAACGGTTTCTTTTGTTGGCCTAAAAATTACAAAAATTCCATAAAACAAGTTTAATTTACAAACCCAAAAACTCACCTTCGAGTGGTTTACTATAATCAAACTCATCACTTCTAGTTTTGTAATCCTCTCTTGCATGCGCCCCTCTGGATTCTTTTCGATTTTCCGCACTAACTATCGTCATCATTGCGTTAAGCATTAAATTTTGAAGTTCCAAAGTTTCCACAAGGTCTGAGTTCCAAATAAGACTACAAAATAATTTTCAGTAAAAATTCAAATTGACCAGGGACCTTATTCTTGAAACAGGAGAGCAGCATTCCCATGAGAATGAGTGTTTTATCTTTGTTCCTTGTATCGACACTTGCATATCATTGAGAAAGACGGAACACTCGTTCTCGCTGCTCCTCTGTTTCAAGAATAAGGACCCAGATTGGATTATTACCTGTTGTCTGAAACCTTTAAATCACCCATTTGTTTGTAGAGACCCTTCATTTTGTCGACGCCCTCTCTGAGTGAATCTTCCTGTCTGAAAACAGCGGCGTGCGTTTGCATGGTTTTTTGCATTTGCAATCGTAAATTGGCAGTGGGGATTGAGCCGTTGGCGTATCTGCACCAATCTAAGTTGGCAACACTTTCTTCTCCTGCATTCTATATGAACAAAAAGAGTTTTTGTTAAAAGAATCTAGGAATTTCGATATCTATAATAATATTTGGTCTTTGTGGAATTGAACCTCAATTAAAGAAGATTGGAAATTTTGTTCCTGGTTCTTCTACAACTTATTATAGATAGAAGTTGTGATTTAATTCCAGTTCAATATCTAAACATTAATCTTTGAATTATTTTGGAAAATATAAAGCGTTTTATATAGAAGCTTCCTAAGATGACTCAATAGAAATTTTGTATGATTTCTTTGCATCTAAATAAAAAAAAATTCCCACTTACAGCTTTCATACTGCCAATAGCTTCTCCAGGTTTGTGTTCCTCGGCAATAGTAAGGGCACAAGCCCGACCGAAAACAACCAAATCCAAAAGCGAATTCGCCCCCAACCTATTAGCTCCATGCACCGAAGAAGATGCTGCCTCCCCACAAGCATACAATCCAGGCACGATTGTATCTTGACCATCGCAAGTGGTCAAAACTTGCCCTTTATAGTTGGTAGGCACTCCGCCCATGTTGTAATGTACGGTTGGTAACACTGGAATGGGTTCTCTGGTTACGTCAACACCGGCAAAAATCATTGCGGTTTCCGAAATTCCCGGTAACCTTTGATGAAGTTGTTCAGCGGGCAAATGGTGCAGCTGCAAATAGACGTGGTCTTTGTCTGGACCGCAACCGCGGCCTTCTCGGATTTCTAAAGTCATACTTCGACTGACAACGTCTCTTGAAGCTAAATCTTTGGCTACAGGGGCGTAACGTTCCATAAAACGCTCGCCTTGTGAGTTTATTAAGTAACCGCCTTCGCCTCTACAACCTTCTGTAATCAAACAACCAGCTCCGTAGATTCCTGTAGGATGAAACTGGACGAATTCTAAATCTTGACTTGGCAATCCCGCTCTGGCTACCATTGCAGTACCATCTCCTGTACAAGTATGAGCTGATGTGCACGAGAAATATGCTCTACCATAGCCACCAGTAGCTAAAACCTGTAACACAAATTTTAGTAAGTTATTGTTTTTCTCTAATTAACAACTTACAGTGTTTTTAGCTTTAAACCTATGTATGGTACCATCTTCTAGACACAAGGCCGTCACTCCAACACATTCCCCATTCTCAATAATCAAATCCAAAGCAAAATACTCAACAAAATAATGACAATCGTACTTTAAACTTTGTCCGTACAAAGTGTGCAGTAAACTGTGTCCGGTTCTGTCGGCCACGCAACAGCACCGATGCGCCTGACCCCCTTTGCCGAACTTTAGGGATTGTCCGCCGAAGGCGCGCTGGTAAATTTTGCCTTCGGTAGTTCTGGAAAAGGGCATTCCGGTGTTTTCCAGTTCGATTACTGCTTTGGGGGCTTCGCGGGTCATGTAGTGGATGGCATCTTGGTCGCCCAGCCAATCTGAACCTTTTACGGTATCGTACATGTGCCATTGCCATTGGTCTGATTCCATATTACCTATTAATGAATAATAATTGATTTAGTGAAAATTGACCAATAACAACTGGCTTTTGATTTGCGCTGGATGCAATTGTTGAATGATTATTACTGGGTCAAAGTTAATTGAACAATTTTCTTAGAGGTATTTTGATTTGAAAAAGTTATGTAGAGTATTACAGCTTCAATCCTGTAATAATAAAGTTATGTATTTCCTGAATTAGGCCAAAATGAACATTGACAAGTCTGTATTTTGGAATTTTTAACTCAAAAACTACCGATGACGCAGAAATAAGATTTCAAGGATCTATTCTTGAAGGTTTGAGGTAGAACATACTAAAAACTCAAAGTGATCACACCTCTTATAATAAAGTTATGAACTTTCTAAATTAGGAAAAATAAACATTGACAAGCCTCCATTTTTGGAATTTTTAACTCAAAGACTACCGGGGGCGCAAGAAGTAAATTTCAAGAGTCCAATGACAAAATTTTACCAAACATGAAACAGTGAAGATTCAGATTCTGAGTTAGAAGATAATGAGGATCAGTGAAATGGATAATGGCCCCTTGCTCAGAACCCAAATGATGCTTTAAGTAATGATTCATGTGCTTTTTTCAACAGACAACAATGAAGCTTCTTCTGTTTGCGAGCCAAATATAGAAAAAAAACAGCTGCAGTCTTAGTGGAAGAAGTTTCGTCCGAACCGCCTCCAAAAAAAACATTGAAATTTCATAATTTTAATACTAATAGGTACCGGGTGATTGTCTATATTTTGCACCTAGACCTATCTCACCTGTTTGAAGAGATACCCAGACTTAGAGCAGGTAAAGGTAAAGAGGAGTAGTAACCTGGATTTGGAAAATGAAGCCGTTTTTTTCCAGCACCAAGAAAATGGCGCTTATGGCAATTCAATGCTTTACCTGTATCTTGGTGCCAAACACCTGCCAAAAACTTGGCTTCACTTTAGTTTCATAAGCAGAATGGCGCGTTCCTACTCCTTATGTCCGTAGGACAGCGCTTTCCTGCTCTAAGTACCCAAATATATCAAATGTGAAAGTTGTAGGTTAGTTACAACTATACAGAGTGTGTCCCGAAAGTGTGGCAAAGCAAAGTTATACTTTTTTAAATGAAATACCCCATATATTATCGACCTATTGGATTAACCTTTCAAACATTACTCTAAAAATACTAGGTTTTTTAGGTTTCGGACTATAAAGAATAAACCTAAAAAACCTAGTATATTTGGAATGAGGTTTGAAAGGTTTATCCTATGGGTTAATGATATACCTACGGATTATTCCATTTTCCACACTTTTATGATACACCCTGTATACTTGTAACTAACTTAACTGAAAACTTCTTATTATTAACCACAACTTTCACACTTGACATTTCTGGGTGTCTCTTCAAACAGGTGAGATAGGTGTTGTTTCAAAATATAGACAATCACCCGGTACCTACTTTATGAATTGGATTTTCAAAAACTTCGAAAACCTGTAACTTTTTTTCTATTGTAGATAGAAAGCTGAAATTTTCAGCGATTCTTATCCTAGTGGAGGACTACAATCCCTGAAAAATTCAGCTTATTAGGACTTACAGTTCCAGAAATAAAATAGCGTTAAGCAATTTAGGGTAAAGGATCCTCTTATGGGTATTTGGTATTCTATCAAATTCAATGAAATTTTGATATGTGTTAGACCTTGACTTCCTGATGAAAAGTTTTCATGGGCCTGAACCAATCCTATGACTAGTTTTTGAGATACAGGTAGTTTAATGTCCAAAAAATGTACAAAGAATCATTGCAATTGGTACACACTTTATAAACATCCCCCGTAATGTGTCAAAATTTTACTTTATTAATCCACAGGTTAAGTCAATATCGTATCAGATTGATAAATCAGTGGTGAATAAAGTTTAATCTGGTTTTGATACACTGTTGAAGGAACAAAACTATCTTGGACCAAAAGCGTATAATTTGATTCCTGACGCAATAAAAAGTGATATAAGAGCTAAAACGTTTTCAAAGCAAGCAAAAAAATATCTTTGGGAAAATAGAATAACATTTCTGAAACTGCTGTCATGAGACCTGGCTATAATTTTGTGCTTTTCATTAAGTAAGTAGGTACTAGATTATTTATTGGATAAGTAAGTAATTTTTTGGTTCTAGTGATTTTTCTTTTCTTTTTTTTTCCGTAAGCGCGATAGTAAACATGTGAAAAAACTTATCTCTAAATACAATTACAAAAATTTTAAATATCAAAATAAGCACATACAGGTGTTGAGTCATCTAGGTGCTTTAGTTAGTTATATATAATATTAGTATTATAACATAAATTTAATGTAACAATATTTGTAACTATATTCCTGGACAAAATTATCGCACCACTGCTTATGATGCTTATGTGCAGTGGTGGTGCAATAATTTTGTTCAGGAGTATATTTTGAAATAAATAAACTTGAAACTTGAAGTAGCAATAGTCAATAGTAATTTGTTTCTATGTCTAATTTTTCACTAATTTACTTAATAAATTACTAACAATACACAACAACAAAAATGAAAAAGACTTTGGAGAAAATCACTGAACTACTTAAAGAAGTCAAGGAGTCTAGGAATAGGAGAGGAAGCATGGATAGGTCAAAAGGAAAAGCATCTTTAAGACAAATTTTTTGTAGGCCTAAATTAACTCAAAAGAGATTAGTGAAACCCTGATATGGAGCCCAGTGACCAAATGATAGCACCGATCAAAATTTAGACTCATTTACCATCAAAAAATTCTCCAACTAATTGAAAACTATTAATAATAATCAAAATAACCAATTGCCAGTAATAAACCAAACTTGAATTGTTTAATACAATCAATAATAACTCAAGACAAAACATTCTTACCCAATGCAGCATTGATACCGCCTTGTGCAGCGACCGTGTGCGATCTGGTAGGGAAAAGTTTAGTGATCACTGCGGTCTTGAAGCCTTCAGCGACCAGTCCGAAAGCTGCTCGGAGCCCTGCTCCACCGGCACCCACCACTACAGCATCGTACGTGTGATCGATACAAGGATACGCAGTTGAACCTGCTCCAGAGTCACACTGCTTAGCATTTTGCCTGTCGACATTTATGTGCAGCGATCTCGATATTGGGGCTAGATTTGTCTAGGGGGCCACATAATTATTACATAACGAAATAAAAACAGGTGCAAACTTACCTTGTTTAGGGTTTGATTCAAGCAGTTTTTGATGGTGGCCGAGTGCAGCTTCAGTAAACCGCTCATTTTTTTTTTAAACAATTAATCTTGGGAGGAATTTTGAAAAATAGAATGCCCAAAGAATTATTATTTTGGGGAAACAGCAACACCTGGGACGTGTGACGTTTGTTTGTGGAATTCCCACGACAATTTGGCAACAATGAAGAAACCAGGTAATATTCTAATCTCGATCAGGTGTTGTCTCTTTTTAGCTTGTTAAGATAGTAAAGGACGGCAATAAAAAGCCACAGGAAATAAACATAAATGATTCCGATATTATTTATTGAATTAAAAATTGAAAAAATTATGAATGGAACTATTTTAATTATTGAGTTTATAATAGGGTGCGGGAAAGTGGTACTTTGCGCGCCCTAATGAGTGCACAAAGTAGTTACTTCGCGCACACTGGTAGAAAATAGTATTTTCATTATTTTTTTCAAATTTCAATCCTTTTTTCATCCACTTAATATTTCAATCCAACTTTTCAAACATTTTCCTAAAAAAAATAAATAAAACGCCCTTCAATGTCCTTTTATGCACCTTTGATTTTTTTTCAAAATGACATATTTTGTCCCATAACTTCGGTAATTTCAATCTGATTGAAACGTAATTAGTATGCTTGAATTAAATTTTCTACAAATGTATATCAAGCAGCAGAAGGAAATTTTTATTTCTATTTTCTTAAATTTCAATCTTTTTTTCACCCACTTGCAAAATTTCAATCCAATCCCTTTAACATTATTTATTTATTTATTTATTTACGGGCAAGACCCATTAAAAGTTTCAAAAGAAAAAACAACAAGAAACATTAAGTACATAACAAACAGTAAAACATTAAATCAGTTATAGGTATAAGAAAATAGAGGACAAACATAAATAATGACTGATCAAGATGACTAAGAATTCTTTAGCTATCAAACTTGGTATCACAAACAAATGAGGAGAATTACATTAGAGAGTTAAGCTCTCTTTTAAAGCTATTTATGGGTCCAAAAAAATCCAGGCTACCATGGGTGTTACATAATCGAGAAGTTCTGGAGATGAATGTATTGAAACCATAGTTTGTACGGTGATTTCTTTCTGAGAAGGTTATGGCAGAGCGGGTGTCCCTTGCTGGGACGTGAAGCCCTATTCTGAACAGTAGATATGCGGAATCACTAATGGAGTTCAGTACCTTGTAAAAAGTATATAAATCTCTTTGATGGCGTCTAGCTGTAGATTGAAGCGTCTGTATAGGTCATCATAGTCATATACATAGTTCTCAGGCGAAGGAATACCTGCCTTGAAGGCTAAATAACGTACGAATTTGCGCTGCACTAGCTCTAGGGCTCTGATATGATTAGAATACATTGGTGACCAGACAGAGGAGCAGTACTCCATCAGGGGCCTCACCATTGAGCAATAAAGGTATCTGATAGAATCTATGCTTGTAAAATCTCTCGAACACCTCTTAATGAAGCCTACAAGTTTTAACGACCTTGTTGTGATGTCTGAAATATGAGTGATAAAATTGAGACTGCTGTCAAAAATGACACCAAGATCTCGTTGTTGTGAGACAGTTTCAAGCGGAATGTTGTTTATATGGTAGGCAAATTGTGGAGGGCTACGACCCTTGGAGAAAACAATGGTTTTGCATTTGGAAGCATTGAGCTCCATGCCGCTCAAAACGCACCACTCCGGAGGTCAGATTGTAGTCTGGCACAGTCTTCAATAAAAGAGACTCGAGTGAACACCTTTAAATCATCCGCAAAGCACAGGAACTCACTGTTAATGAAACAAGACTTGATATCGTTAATAAAAACGTTGAAAAGCAGAGGTCCCAAGTGAGAACCCTGTGGAACGCCCAATGGGATGTCAATTTCGTGTGAGAAGAAGTTGTTAACTTTGATTATTTGAGTTCTCTCCCCAAGATAGTCGCTAATCCACTTCAACAAAGTACCGGAGATTCCAGCACTTTCAAGCTTAGCAAGCAGAACGGCATGGTTGACCTTTGGGAAGGTGTTTTGGATGCTAATGGGCCTGTATTTTGAAATATCCATTTTATCGCCCGATTTATGAATGGGTATGATGAAGCTCTGCTTCCAGAGCTTAGGAAATTCACCCAAACTAAGTGACTTATTGAAAAGAATGAAAAGTGGACGGGATAATACAAAGCTACAATTCTTTATCACATGGGACACCGTCTGGGCCTGGACCCTTAAAAGACTGCAGGCTACATAGTTCTTCATAAATGATATTGAGATATTAAATTCATGAATATGTGCATCGCTCCGAGAGATGTCCTGACTAGCAACACAAATTTTGTTGAAATAAACAGAATGGAAGTATTCAGCAAAGAGATTAGCTATCTCTGAACCATTTTTGGCAATGTTTGCTATTATAAAACATGTGAGACGGCAAACCATTCACTTTTCGCTTGGCATTGATAAAACTCCAGAAGTAGTGATCATTCAGCGGTGACATTTCAGAGCGCTGCACATAATTCAGATAGGAGTCCTTTGAAAGAGTCTTACACTGAGTGCGAAGATTCGAGAAGTTGTCATAGTCACTAGGAGAACCAGTCCGCTTCCAGGTTCTGTGTGCTTCTTTCTTCTTGATTATGAGTTCCTTTACGTCAAAGGGGAACCATTTAGGAAATTTATGGGTGGAAAGCTTTTTCTTTGGTACAAAGCAGTCAATAGCAGTGTAAAGAATGTCATAAAAAATGCTGATCATTTCTGCCACAGTTGGGCCTTGGAGCAAAGCATCCCAGTTGATCATACTTATATGATCATTGAGAAGTGCATACTCAGCGGATTTAAAATCATAGTAGTACTCATCAGGTTGCGGGTAGTCTGAGTTACACTGCTGGGTCTCGGCGCATAATATATTTAATATTAATGCAGGGTGATATGAATCAATAGGGAGAAGGATGTCATCTGCCAAGGTGCAGGTGTCATCAGGATCCTGACCAAACATCAGATCTAACAGAGAGCCATGCGCATTGTGGAACTTGTTTATTTGAAACATGTTATGGTAAGCACTCATGTTGGATAGGTACTCAGTAACTGCGCGCTCTGAGGGAATAGCGGAGGGGGTTGCCGTAGCACTTGAGCTCAGGCCGTCATCAACCCATTGTGCTTTGGGTATGTTAAAATTCCCAAATATGCAGAGCTTGTAATCAGGAAATGTTTCAGATAAAGTATCTACTGAGTCTGAAAAACACTTATAATTATCTCCATTAGATTTCGGCGGTAGGTATACAGCTCCAAGCAATAGTTTACTATTAGCTGACTGCACTCTTACAAATAACTGTTCAATGGTTGAGGCTGATTCACAAATGGAACTGAGAATGTTATTCCGGACAGCTATTAATACACCTCCCCCCCTTAAGAATGTGCTTGTTGCTGGTGTTCGGTCACTTCTGTGAATATTGTAATTGTCCATGCCCAGTTCTGCATCAAGAAAGTTATCACTCAACCACGTTTCTGTAAAAACGAGTACTTGGTATGCAACTAAGGGAATGGAACTGATTAGTTTTTCCAATTTAGTACGCAAACCACGCACGTTCTGATAGTAGACTGATACAGAACTATTTAGTTTGCAAATACCTCCTGATTGACGGCTAGATTCTGAAAATTCTGGGGCGAATGAAAATCAGCACCAGGGTCATCTTTTGATGTGTCAAGTTTTTTCTTGAAGTTGAATCTACGAAAGATCACACCACTAGGCCAGAATTCGCAGGAGTTCATAGCATTGTAGTGAATGGGAATGACACCAATTTTGAAAGAATTGGTTTTCCCTATAGTTTTAAGCTGATCAATAATTAAGTTATCCTCACTAATATTTGGCAGTTTTTGAGTTATGTACCTGCGAATTTTAGCAGCTTCCTGAAAAAGAAAAAAATTAAACACCCCTCAATGTGTAATTTTTTTTTTTGGTAATTTGAATGACATCAATTCACATTTTGCCTCACAACTTTGTTAATTTCAATCCGATCCTAACATAATTAGGCTCCAATTGAAGTCAATTAAATCATCTACAAACGCAATACATTCAAATTTTATTATTTATTAATATAAGTATTCTATAAACATTAAACTTAAGAATACTCAGTAAAATCCTCAATAGGTTTTTTACTCTTAACCTCCTCAGTCGGATAATTGTTTTGCTCCTCATTCTTTTGCTCGTCCAGCACCTTCTTCCTCACCTTCTTAATCTGCCTCAAACGTTCCAGCCAAGTGGAGGCATAAGGATCGCTGGGACTCTGTTTCAATGAAGTAGCAACCAGTGATGCCAACTAAAAAAAAAAATACAATAATATTTGCCTTAACTTAATACAAAACAACTTACATTCGCATGTATTGCCAATTGTCTAGCCAAAATGGCAACGTTTTGGTCTGAGACAATTTTAGGATCGTTTCCAACTACTGCTAAATCTTTTAATACATCTTTAATCTTCATTATTACTTTGTTAATGCCATGATCCAAAGGTTGGATGATGATTGAGGCAAAATTGAATTGGCTTTTGATTGTTTTCATGTCAAATTCTTCTTTGCTTTCATTGTATACAATAATCACATAGTCATTACCTATATGCATTTTTTTGTTGTTACAATTCGGATCTGAGTCTTTATTTGGCATTAAGGTAGCTACATGGAAAGTGACTCTTACAACGTCGTCTTTCCACAAATAAGTGAACTTTCCGTCGTTGCCATTTTCATCTAAACCGCCTAATAATTGAGGCTCGGTATCAGCTATTTTAACCAAACTGCCAAGTTTTTGCAAAAACTCAATATACCTCAAAGAACCAAAGCTGTTTCTCAAAATCTCAGCTTCATTATTAACTTGGCCTTCTCGTATATAAATTACTCCAACTTTGTGCATTTCATATGGAGGCACTTTGTCTAACAAGTTTATAGATCTGTTAACCACATCGCTGGTGCCTACAATTAAGGGTTTTTCGTATCTGTTGTAATCGGTAAAATATGCTGAATGGTAAAGTTGCAAAAATACAAAACTAGGATTTACTCCGCTTCTTGGTAAGGGCTTGATAGGCTCGGATCTGGGCCTGGATCGGATAGGCATTACCGATATGGTGTGGCCTCTTTCACGTCTGGCCAAAGGTTGATTAGGGTCTAGGGACGATAATCGTTCTGTACTGCCACTTATTTTGCGTTCTTTGGCTCTCTCTCTGGCTTGAGTTAAATGGCTGTTTCGGTCTAGAACTATTGAGGAGGAGGAACTTTTTTGAAGTTCTTGACCACCTAAAATAGAATAATTTTTGAATTAGTTTTTTAAGGATTGGTAAAAACCCGGATCTTTGAGAAGCTTCAAAATTGAATTTACACAGTTTTTGCCTCAGAGGTTTGTTAATTTTCTATTAATTCAATACATTTGTTATGTAATAACTGAAGTATAAAAATCAAGAACGATCTGAATTCTTTTTCAAAAATCTACAGCCAAGATGAGAGTATGTGGAAGAGCAGGGATGATAAAAACTTCCAACAAGACCATTTTGTCACGTAACTGAATTCGCAGTTCCAATTCCTTGGCAACTGTCACCATTCGTAACAATGCATTCAGATTAGGCTTGAGCATATATAAGTCCAGGGTTTGTAGTCCCTTTATTGGGATGAGATTCAGTGAAAATTTCAGCTTTCTATCTATCATAGAAAAAAAGTTATGCCCTTCCAAAGTTTTCCAAAATCTAAATCATAAGGTAGCTTCCTAGTAAAACGATGAAATTTCAAAATTTTTTTTGTTGAGATTTTGTGTCGTTATGGTCAATTAAAATCCCCCAAACTCCTTATACTAAATTATTCTCAGATTTGAATCCAAAATCTATGAAAAAAAGCACTCAGAAAAATTGAAAAATTGATAAATCACCCCAAATTGCTTAACACGATTTTATCTCAGGAACTATAAGTGCAAACGAGCTGAAATTTTCAGGGCTTGTAGTCCTTTGGAAGGGATAAAATTCAGTGAAAGATTCAGCTTTCTATCTATAATAGAAAAAAAGTTACGACCTTTGAAAGTTTTCCGAAAAAATCATAAGGGGGATACCTTCTTACTAAAATGATGAAATTTCAATTTTTTTTTTTCGAGATTTTGTGTCCTACTGGTCCCTCGTGATACTCTGAACTCCATACACAAAATTATTCTCAGATTTGAAGCCGAAATCTACGAAAAAAGGCACTCAGAAAAATTGAAAAATTGATAAATCACCCCAAATTGCTTAACACGATTTTATCTCAGGAACTATAAGTGCAAATGAGCTGAAATTTTCAGGGATTGTAGTCCTTTGGAAGGGATAAAATTCAGTGAAAGATTCAACTTTCTATCTATAATAGAAAAAAAGTTACGACCTTTGAAAGTTTCCCGAAAAAATCATAAGGGGGATACCTTCTTACTAAAATGATGAAATTTCAATTTTTTTTTTTTCGAGATTTTGTGTCCTACTGGTCCCTCATGATACTCTGAACTCCATACACAAAATTATTCTCAGATTTGAAGCCGAAATCTATGAAAAAAGGCACTCAGAAAAATTGAAAAATTGATAAATCACCCCAAATTGCTTAACACGATTTTATCTCAGGAACTATAAGAGCAAATGAGCTGAAATTTTCAGGGATTGTAGTCCTTTGGAAGGGATAAAATTCAGTGAAAGATTCAGCTTTCTATCTATAATAGAAAAAAAGTTACGACCTTTGAAAGTTTTCCGAAAAAATCATAAGGGGGATACCTTCTTACTAAAATGATGAAATTTCAATTTTTTTTTTTTCGAGATTTTGTGTCCTACTGGTCCCTCGTGATACTCTGAACTCCATACACAAAATTATTCTCAGATTTGAAGCCGAAATCTATGAAAAAAGGCACTCAGAAAAATTGAAAAATTGATAAATCACCCCAAATTGCTTAACACGATTTTATCTCAGGAACTATAAGTGCAAATGAGCTGAAATTTTCAGGGATTGTAGTCCTTTGGAAGGGATAAAATTCAGTGAAAGATTCAACTTTCTATCTATAATAGAAAAAAAGTTACGACCTTTGAAAGTTTCCCGAAAAAATCATAAGGGGGATACCTTCTTACTAAAATGATGAAATTTCAATTTTTTTTTTTTCGAGATTTTGTGTCCTACTGGTCCCTCATGATACTCTGAACTCCATACACAAAATTATTCTCAGATTTGAAGCCTATGAAAAAAGGCACTCAGAAAAATTGAAAAATTGATAAATCACCCCAAATTGCTTAACACGATTTTATCTCAGGAACTATAAGTGCAAATGAGCTGAAATTTTCAGGGATTGTAGTCCTTTGGAAGGGATAAAATTCAGTGAAAGATTCAACTTTCTATCTATAATAGAAAAAAAGTTACGACCTTTGAAAGTTTCCCGAAAAAATCATAAGGGGGATACCTTCTTACTAAAATGATGAAATTTCAATTTTTTTTTTTTCGAGATTTTGTGTCCTACTGGTCCCTCATGATACTCTGAACTCCATACACAAAATTATTCTCAGATTTGAAGCCGAAATCTATGAAAAAAGGCACTCAGAAAAATTGAAAAATTGATAAATCACCCCCCAAATTGCTTAACACGATTTTATCTCAGGAACTATAAGAGCAAATGAGCTGAAATTTTCAGGGATTGTAGTCCTTTGGAAGGGATAAAATTCAGTGAAAGATTCAGCTTTCTATCTATAATAGAAAAAAAGTTACGACCTTTGAAAGTTTTCCGAAAAAATCATAAGGGGGATACCTTCTTACTAAAATGATGAAATTTCAATTTTTTTTTTTTCGAGATTTTGTGTCCTACTGGTCCCTCATGATACTCTGAACTCCATACACAAAATTATTCTCAGATTTGAAGCCGAAATCTATGAAAAAAGGCACTCAGAAAAATTGAAAAATTGATAAATCACCCCAAATTGCTTAACACGATTTTATCTCAGGAACTATAAGAGCAAATGAGCTGAAATTTTCAGGGATTGTAGTCCTTTGGAAGGGATAAAATTCAGTGAAAGATTCAGCTTTCTATCTATAATAGAAAAAAAGTTACGACCTTTGAAAGTTTTCCGAAAAAATCATAAGGGGGGATACCTTCTTACTAAAATGATGAAATTTCAATTTTTTTTTTTTCGAGATTTTGTGTCCTACTGGTCCCTCATGATACTCTGAACTCCATACACAAAATTATTCTCAGATTTGAAGCCGAAATCTATGAAAAAAGGCACTCAGAAAAATTGAAAAATTGATAAATCACCCCAAATTGCTTAACACGATTTTATCTCAGGAACTATAAGAGCAAATGAGCTGAAATTTTCAGGGATTGTAGTCCTTTGGAAGGGATAAAATTCAGTGAAAGATTCAGCTTTCTATCTATAATAGAAAAAAAGTTACGACCTTTGAAAGTTTTCCGAAAAAATCATAAGGGGGATACCTTCTTACTAAAATGATGAAATTTCAATTTTTTTTTTTTCGAGATTTTGTGTCCTACTGGTCCCTCGTGATACTCTGAACTCCATACACAAAATTATTCTCAGATTTGAAGCCGAAATCTATGAAAAAAAGGCACTCAGAAAAATTGAAAAATTGATAAATCACCCCCAAATTGCTTAACACGATTTTATCTCAGGAACTATAAGAGCAAATGAGCTGAAATTTTCAGGGATTGTAGTCCTTTGGAAGGGATAAAATTCAGTGAAAGATTCAGCTTTCTATCTATAATAGAAAAAAAGTTACGACCTTTGAAAGTTTTCCGAAAAAATCATAAGGGGGATACCTTCTTACTAAAATGATGAAATTTCAATTTTTTTTTTTTCGAGATTTTGTGTCCTACTGGTCCCTCGTGATACTCTGAACTCCATACACAAAATTATTCTCAGATTTGAAGCCGAAATCTATGAAAAAAGGCACTCAGAAAAATTGAAAAATTGATAAATCACCCCAAATTGCTTAACACGATTTTATCTCAGGAACTATAAGTGCAAATGAGCTGAAATTTTCAGGGATTGTAGTCCTTTGGAAGGGATAAAATTCAGTGAAAGATTCAACTTTCTATCTATAATAGAAAAAAAGTTACGACCTTTGAAAGTTTCCCGAAAAAATCATAAGGGGGATACCTTCTTACTAAAATGATGAAATTTCAATTTTTTTTTTTTCGAGATTTTGTGTCCTACTGGTCCCTCATGATACTCTGAACTCCATACACAAAATTATTCTCAGATTTGAAGCCGAAATCTATGAAAAAAGGCACTCAGAAAAATTGAAAAATTGATAAATCACCCCAAATTGCTTAACACGATTTTATCTCAGGAACTATAAGTGCAAATGAGCTGAAATTTTCAGGGATTGTAGTCCTTTGGAAGGGATAAAATTCAGTGAAAGATTCAACTTTCTATCTATAATAGAAAAAAAGTTACGACCTTTGAAAGTTTCCCGAAAAAATCATAAGGGGGATACCTTCTTACTAAAATGATGAAATTTCAATTTTTTTTTTTTCGAGATTTTGTGTCCTACTGGTCCCTCATGATACTCTGAACTCCATACACAAAATTATTCTCAGATTTGAAGCCGAAATCTATGAAAAAAGGCACTCAGAAAAATTGAAAAATTGATAAATCACCCCAAATTGCTTAACACGATTTTATCTCAGGAACTATAAGAGCAAATGAGCTGAAATTTTCAGGGATTGTAGTCCTTTGGAAGGGATAAAATTCAGTGAAAGATTCAGCTTTCTATCTATAATAGAAAAAAAGTTACGACCTTTGAAAGTTTTCCGAAAAAATCATAAGGGGGATACCTTCTTACTAAAATGATGAAATTTCAATTTTTTTTTTTTCGAGATTTTGTGTCCTACTGGTCCCTCATGATACTCTGAACTCCATACACAAAATTATTCTCAGATTTGAAGCCGAAATCTATGAAAAAAGGCACTCAGAAAAATTGAAAAATTGATAAATCACCCCAAATTGCTTAACACGATTTTATCTCAGGAACTATAAGAGCAAATGAGCTGAAATTTTCAGGGATTGTAGTCCTTTGGAAGGGATAAAATTCAGTGAAAGATTCAGCTTTCTATCTATAATAGAAAAAAAGTTACGACCTTTGAAAGTTTTCCGAAAAATCATAAGGGGGATACCTTCTTACTAAAATGATGAAATTTCAATTTTTTTTTTTTCGAGATTTTGTGTCCTACTGGTCCCTCATGATACTCTGAACTCCATACACAAAATTATTCTCAGATTTGAAGCCGAAATCTATGA